AGACGCCAAATAAAACGCTCAGCAAAACGAAGTTTACAGTCGTTTAATAATGACATATTTTATTAATAAAGATTTATATAATTTATTGAATCAAAATTAGGATATTCTATATGTAGAAGCGAGTTGCACTTTATACTTAATGTTGCGAAACGACTTCTATAACGACAGCCCGTATATTTCGAGAGAAAAGTCTTTTGATTGCGATTATACGGTACAATGCTTGGTCGCGCGTGAGAGACCCACGATGTGATTTATTATATTTAACACCAGTGCGCCCCGCACCGTAACGCTCTATTTACTCTTTCGGTAACAATAGAAACTAATAATGATAATTCTGCATTAATTGTTCGTTGCGTGCATGATCAAGACAACGTATTGCATACTTATCGTGTCACGTGATCGCCCATGTTACGTGCAGGCCTAAGAGCGCAGCGGAAGTGAGGAAAAAAAATAAGTTTCTTTTACGAATTAATGGTGTTTTTGTGCGCATTTATTTGCAAGCTCGTAAGGTCGTATTAATATTCACGTGGTGGCGCGCCTGGGGCGGGCAGGCTTCACAAAATGGCTGCCGCCGGAGGCGCTCGGGCCGGCTGAATCGTGACCGCCAGGAATCCACGCGCTCGTTCGAACCCTCATCAATTATGCATGAATGCGGCCGAACGACGATGTTTACTCTCCATGAGACAACAATTTATTGCGTCGTGCGGTTTTTGACATTCGATCGCGGACCGGTCTCAGCTCAGCACTATGCTGGCGAAATGTGATTCTCAAACAGTATACAAATTATTCCAAGAATAAGCCTAATGAATCAATTAATCAAGTTTTTCATGTTATACCTGGTATAGTAGAGTATTTAATGCCTTTATGTGGTGTGTTTAAATGAACTTGAGAATCGTTTGTAAATATTATGCATTGTCTTTTCTCCGGTCAGAATGTTTACGTCCGTGTGTAACAATGATTCATATTTATTGCATCAGGTCAGAGAAGAATTAATTTTATCGTATTGCGAGTGTCTACGAGGCGCAGCTGTGTAAGCTATCGATAACACCATATGAATAACGCATTGTTCCCAAGCAGTTGCTGGATTTACAGCATAAAATATTTTGTTTTGCAGGTTGCATAGAATACATCGTTTATAACTTTTAAGATCTTTTGCGATTATAGACCTAAAGTGTCCCTATTTTATACAGTACTAGCTGATTTCTCGCGACTTAAATTGAAATTATAACCCAAAGCACTGCGTTTGATGTAGCTTTCTGTAGGTAAAGAATTTTTACGATCTAATAGATTACCAATTATAAAAAAACAAAATAAGAAACTTTTCTTCTTTATAAAATTTATGCCGTATATTACAGATGAACCGAGGAATTTTGTTGAAATAGCACTCATTTTTATGTAATCAAACACTTTTTTCAAAATAATGGCTGAATACCTATTATAAACTTACCTCCTTTTGTCTTATAGGTGTAGCTCAAGTTGAAATATCTAACAAGGGTTTATCTGTATCAAGTTGAATTCTCCCACGCGTTAGTGTAATGTTGGTTAATCGTGACTCACCGGATAGTGCTAGAAAAATTACACAGTAAACAATGATCACATTCAGGCAATTTTTGATGTTAAATTGACACACATAGAGTTAACTTTTCATTATATCAATATTGTTTTGGTAAGATAATTTAAAACGACAGTCTTTCTTACCATGAAATGAAACAATTTTAGCAGTCGGTAAATAACGAGATTGGTATAAAGTTATATTAAATATTGTCATTAAAAATCACTAACTTTCAACTGGTTTTGTACAAAAAATAATCTTCAAATAAGCTGTAATTAAATACGAGAGAAATACATTATATTTCTGTGACAGTAAAACGTATAATAAAAAAAAAACCCAATAGAAAATATAAAATCATTTATTTCAACATAACACGCGAATGACTACTTACCATACAACCTTATTTCTAATAACAGTAAATTGTATTAGTGTATTTCTTGATTATCTAATTGGAATAATGTTTACATGTCTGTTTGTCTCCGATTAACTATTTTGATGAAGTATATAATTGATTTTTACTTGAAATTTAACGAGCATCTTAATACGTTAGGTAATTAAGTGATTCGTTTACAAATTAACCTAGAAAATTTTGAATGGAAAAAAAATATCACAGTCTATAATTAACATAACTAGATTTAAGTTTGTTTTCAATTAAGAACATTAGTTAGTTTGTTTTGCTTCTTTGATAATAACAGTTTTTATCATTTATCATTAATTATACAAGTATTTCTGTATTCTGATTTGAATCTACGCATTGGATGTGCTAATGATCATTATACTACTAGCTGTTATCTAGTTTTGCCTGTGTAGTCAAAATAATGAAATTCTTCATCGCGATAAAAAGTGTCATAAATCACTTTTCAGCCTAACACTCCACTGCGAATATTATGGGACAAACACATACTTTTACCTTTTACATTTATAATACTGATTGATTTTTTGTGTCATTTATATACGAATTGGAAAATGCAGAATATGTGAGATTGGGTCTGGATGCCGTCTTTCTCAAATCCATCCTGCATTAATGAGGGTTTTACTAAGTAGCCAATCCACGCTTTGACCTAGTTCTTTGGGGCAGGTCTTGTGGATATAGAGCCCTGATTTAAGGTTTAAGGTTCATTTCCCTTGAGTTAAAAAAAAGGTGAGTTAAAACATGTTTAATATCCTGTTTTCTTTTTTATTGATTATTTGAACGCGTTCGCAGTGTTTTTCTGATATTATTTTGCTTTAATTTTAATAATGATCATGTTGTTTAAATTTAGGTATATAAAGTCGCCTGTCATACTCTGATGATTCAACGTTTCCCATGTCAAGTGTTTCTTTGGCTATATTATTTACGTAAATTAAGAATGTTACACAAGCTTTATATGGCCGATAGGAAGTCTCTTAGAAATAAAATATTTCATGAGTTACTAGTTACTACACGGTATCTAATCCTACCTATTCATATTTATGCTTCGGGATAAAAACATTGTCCTTTATAAGGACTGCTCGTCCTTTAATAAGGACGTCATTATCATTAATCACTTAATTTATTAAGTATAATGAAAGCGTTGGTCTAATTACACAATAAAATGTCAGTTTTTATATAATGTAGATATTTATATATATAATTTTCAAGGTATTAATACTGTTCATTGTGTTATTTAAACAGCGGGTTAATACGTTGTTATCAAGTGGCGCAACCAGGTTATCGACTAGTTTGTGTTATCGACTGCCGTGTTTGTTCGTTTTATGTAGATATGAAATTCCCTGTCTCTCACTATCACTGTTATCTTAAACGTGCAAAGCGTGGTATTGTTTACTGAACACACTTTAATTTCACACCATATTTGACATGTGATTTATTTTTGTATAAAGAAATTTGCTAAATCGCGCTCCCCTGGGTCTTTTTTTGTAGGGATTTCATAGTCAAGTAGTCACCTAAAGAGAAAATAAACTGAACGCTATTGCAGAATAATGTTTATCAAAGTATAGTCAACAGCACGCTAGGATATACAAAAAAAGTGAAATTTGAAATATTATGGTAACCTGACTTACTGTATCTCATATAATTATGAATTTGTCAGACGAAATGTTACGTTATATATTCACCTATTTATATTTCATATACTTAAACATACCTAAAGAAGAGTCGATACAAAATTTTTAAAAATGTCGTCAAACTAGTACCAATGTGACTTAAAAAGTCACGTATCGTTTTTTTTTGTTCACTTGCGAATTGCTTTATAATTTGCATGCAACCGCTAACTTGATTAGTACAAGGCCAGAATAAGGTATGTGACCTCTTTGCTTGTTTTAACAAAAACAGGTTTCGCATCACTATTCAACCGCATAGGCATCCGGCTGTACGCACGAAGGCGGCTATAAAAAAAGTCAGAAAAACAGGCCATTGAAAATAAATAATTGATGTGAGTAGTACTTAACAAAAAAGTAATTAGGTTGTTTTTTACATAACCACGGTTGTTATTTATTAATTTTTCCAGGAAGAACTGTGGTAACTTGCGTAATGTATATTATTATTAAAAACTACTCTAGTTTAAACATTTCTTTATCTGTGATACAATGTAAAATTCTTGTGAAATGTATAAAGTGGAAATAACCTTTATAATGCACCATCTAGATTGCGGATTAAAGGTTTTGTTGTTGATTTTTTTTTCACTACATAAACACGTTAAAAGTTTTTATTTATGTCATAGAAGTAGGTAGATACATTATATCGTACCTTACAGAAGTAACATTTGTTTTCTAACACACTGTATGGCATTTTCTTGGCACATACCTACATTTTAGAATTGGTAACGGCATATTTGTAAGTAGGTGGCTAATATTCTCTTTGTGTGTTATTTATAACCATAAACTCTGAACGCATAGTTTGTCACGGAATTGTTGGCAATTTGCCAATCGTTAGTACGTATGTTGGTCAACGATCAACATTTGTTTATCGTTTTATTTTATTTTCATTTGGCGAATGAATGTTTCCGGAAAAAGCCCTGTAAAAATATAAATAAATAACTCGGAATTAAATTATGAAAACACTGCGACGTTGTATTGGCTAGCTTTTTCTTTTATACGTCTTTCTACTAGTATGAATGAACGTTTCTATTATTTTATAAATTGTCGTCGATGACAAAAATGTTTCGGTATGATAATTTGTGAGTAACGTTTCGTTACTTGCGTTAAGCGCATTATCGTGGTTATCGACATCTGCCCTTCCTGTTGATATTCGTTTGCTGTAGGTTATAATTTAGTAGGTATACATGACTGCAACGAACGACATCAGGTGCACGATGTATAGCGCGGGGGGCACCTCAAACCCTCTTGTTTCCCCCTTCACACCCGCGCTACCGTTCACTTGTTGCTAGTTGCTACGTTTTGCCTGCTTGCTACGTCGCCGCCGTCGTGGCCGCGAGCATCGCGAGCGAGACTGGCGCTACGCTACCGCCTCCCCTCGGCCCCCCTTCATCCGTCCGACGAATCCCCGCGTTTCAGTTCTTTGTGCGCCGCTAAAGTTGACGCATGTTTGTGCAACGTCTGTATCGAAATAATTTAACTTGGGGAGGTCGTGTACTCTATGTTATCATAGCCCACTGGAAGTGGTACGAGTGTGTCTACGTCTGCGCTTGAATGCATCACGTATCCGAAGACCCTTCAATTAGGAACTGAAACGGAGCTTTCCTTTCAACAGGATTTTATCTCTGTGAAACCTGTGACAGTGACTTCTAATTTGTGTTAAATTTTTTTATGATATTGTTTTGTGTCCTATACGTGTGACTTTAATTTTGTGTTTGAATTTCATAAGTCTTGGTTATCAAAATATCTTTGGTGCATAGAAAAATCATATTTTTTTACCAACGACGAGAGAAGTGAGTATGTTTTTTTTACCTTTATAAAAAAGGCAAAGGTAACTGAGTGATCTTGATCTATCGACGCTCAAACTACTAGACAGATTAATCAAGGCACATTAATAGTTATTATGACGTTGAGGCTAAGAGGTTGAGGATTTTTAGTGGTCAAACTACGAGCGAAGCCGGACGTGGAAAGCCGGTATAGTAATTTAAAAAAATTTCCTACTTTAAAATTGCGCATTATCGTTTTCTATTTAATAAATTCTATCAATTTCTATTATGTTTTCATTGAAATGTTTTCCTTTTTCTTTGTCGACGCAAAGCACTCTAATATATAATTAATGACTTCGCTAATAAAATTGTCTACCAATTATTTAATTGTATTCTGGTTCTGGTGTTATTTAATTTGAAAGCTATCGTAATATACAAATCCGGCTATTTTAGTAACATTCCTATTTTATTATAATATTACGCATAATGATTACTTTAACTGCGTAGGGACGCCTTTTGCGTTTAGACGTTAAGTATAGAAGCTATTAATTTCTCTTTTAAAAATAGGTTATGATAATTTATTTTTGATTATATTACCTACCTACATAATAAAAAAATGGAGTTGCTCGAGTATTGCGGGGTCACAGAACACAGAAAACGTTTTGTTTGTAAAAAAAAAAACATAATTTGATCAATCGGTAATGTGCAAATCAAGACCAAAGAAAAAGTCCAAGAGGTCACCAGGATAAAGATTGTAAACGTGGGTTATGGCGATGTTGTCAGGCAGGGGAATCGAGAATTCCAGTCACGATCCTTCGGGACGCGTCGTGAGATGTAGGAAGATAGGTTGTTCGTTCGCCACCGTGGCTTTCAATAGCATTGCGCAATTTACTGCACGCCGCATTCGTGATACTAACTACGCTCCATCAAGGTGGTATTGCATTTACAGTCACGATAACTTACGCGTATATACTTTGGAACTTCAATGTTGTCCCCAAACTAGGCTAACTGCTTATATTACAGCAGGAATTTTTTTACTCTCTCCCATAATGTTCCAGAAGACGATAAATCTCACACTCACATATATTACGCAAAATGATTAGACTCGAGATATAATTGCTTTATTGTGACTGTGCCGAGAAAGCTTTTGTTACTGCTAAATGTTCTATTAACGGTTGTTGGCCGAGTGGAAGTGTTTCATTACACGCTTGGCGACTCTATACGCTCTAGTGATTTTAACGAGATAGCTTTGACTCCACAAACGCGACCGGATAAAGTAGCGATTGCTTATTATGAGATTACTGCTACACAGTTTCGTTGGATCTGATTAAACGTGCATGCATTTAAACTAGTACCTAGGTATGATCAATTTTTAGCTCGGATAATGCCATAAAGTTACATGTTCACGATATTAATATATTTAAATAGTTATCAAATCAACCATTAACTTTAAATAATGTTTCGTAAGATATTCGTGAACATATTTAACGTACAGAACGACTTGATTGATTGTTTCATGTCACGCGACCAGCGGACTTCCTTCAAAGAATGAACGCTTTTAACAGCCAAATGGTTTTGATGACTTCGACCTCTTGACCTCATCTCTTTAGTTCTCGTCTCGTAATGTACACTGAAATAGATACGTTCTTGTTTCACACAGCAAGAACTGCTTAGCGACTGACGTAATAAATAATGTCAGCTCGGTATGTATTTGCGGTTAAGCTATTCCGAGAAGACCCACATAGTTAACTAATGGCGCGGCAAACGGTATTGCACTGAAATGAATAATTCAAAACCACGCGATAGTGGAATTGCGTATGCTGATTAGTGATTTTAATAAAAAATATTACAATTGATTTGTTTAAACTAGGAGATGTTAAATGTCAGAGGTTTTATTAATAAACCTTTCCTACACTACATTGTGTAGGCTACAAGTTTATTATATTTATTAGTTTCGTGAAAATAGTTTTATGTTATACAGTTGCGAGGTAGCGTTTGAGCTTGCCCTTCATGTAAAATTCATACGGCGGTGGTCAGGATTTACTGCCATCGGCTCCCGCCGCGTTTTGCAGTCTCCATGTCAACTTTTTGCTCGGTCCTTTCTATCTAATGAAAACCTCTTAAAGGTTCTTTTTAGCGTTTGTCTTGTCAATCAGCCGTCGTTGTGGCGGCGTTGCCACGCTTCCCCGTGGAGTTATTTGTTATTCCATTGTCCCTGCAAGCTGATCACTGTCACATTGTCTCGCTACTTTTGTTTACATTCGCTCAATGGCCGTTTGTTTGTAAAGAAACGAAGTTTGTTTACCCCGACTCTTGTGTTCTTCAAACATTGTTTGTAGATAAGTTTTACAATAAACTTATCTACTTTACTTATCTTCTTGTTATCCACGACTGTACACGTAGGCACACTAATTGTTATCGTCGCAATCAACGTTTTATTTGTTATTTGAATAAAGTTCTTCAACGTATTTTGTTTTATTTAAGGATAATTCAACATTACTTCCAAATAAGCGTAGGTATTTTCGATAGTAATTTGTCAATTAGGCAGTGATAGCTATAACAGGTTTGACTCTGAACTCGCTATTTTTTATGTTATTAATTATTACAATAACGTTAATTAATCATCAATAAGTCATTTGCATTAGCTTATATTCTGTTAAAGGCACAATTATATTGCTGCAACAGGTTTTACGGGGTCCTAATTGAAATCGCGTAATAACCTCGGTCAGTGGATCGAACCTCGCGCACACCACCACATTATCTTGTCATTACGCTCACTGCACACTGTAATAATAACCAGGTTCGAGCTCACAATAGCGAGTCATCCGTTTCTTCTGTTTACGTTTGTTTATGAATAATTATTATTAATGCGATTATGTAAATGCGGCTCTCGTTGGCCATGGCTCATTAAAATTCCATTGTAGTGCGCTCGACACGCAAACTTTTAAATGTAGGTGTTGTGTTGAATACCGTATAGGACTTCTTTCATTAGTCATTATTACACTCGGAATATAAAATATTTTTCTGAGTATATCCCTTTCTGTTGACTTTGTCATTTAAGGACTAATAATGACACAATTTAAAACGATTGTTTTTTTTTAATCAGATAAAATATTTACTTTTATTACAGTTAAAATATCTGTATGTATAATTTGAATAACTTTCAGTACTGAATATTTCAATTATGTTTAATATTTCTCATGCAAACAAGTTATAAGTAATATTAGAGATAACACATGTTTTGATATTTACAAATTACAACCAATCAATCACAGTTTACCAAACTATCAGTTGCGACCCCTATGGCTTAAAAACTTGTGTTCAATGAATAAAACCTTGTTTATAATAAATATTACTTTATTTAAACTCGTATATTTTAGTTAAGCACGAGTGGTATAAAATTGAAAATGTATTTCTTAGAATAACACATCAATGTTCCTGAATACATAATTTATTCCCATCTTAGGATGGATACACTACGAATTACTTTGCCGTGATAAAAAATGATGTAATGTAATAGTTCAGATAGTTGTAACTTATCAAAGCGCGGCCGTTAGTTGAAATGTCTGAACAACAGTTGCAAATGATTGAATTGATATTATTTAAGTATATGTTTTCATTTGCGTTTTGTTGATCATCAATCTTAAGTAATAGCCGTCATAAAATCTGTCATGTCACTTCAAAGTTGCGCTGGCCAAACGTCCGTTCAACTTTTGAATATTGGCAAAAGTTGTGATGGCCGGAGTCCAACTTTATCATTCACGTGCGCGTTCCACGTCTCAGACTTGCCAACATTATGTGACTCCTGAAAAAATCCAGTTATTTCCAACGTACTTCCCCTTCCTGTAGCCAAGTTAATACGCGCTAACTGATCATTTTTGATTAACGATTTGTGTCACGGAATTCGAAGCCAAGGTCGATTATTCATCGTTACTAACGCGGGTGTGAAAGTATATTACGCCAATAAATGACACCGTCAAGGATTTTACGGATAAAAAACGTCCTCATTGAACGATTACGCGGTTTAATTGTACCTTACGACATCCTGAATTTGAAAAAAAAAAACGAAACCATCCATTGGTATCAGTATAAAGGGACGAACCAGTTTCTTTTTTCAAAGTATTAGTAGACGTTTAGTTTACGTTATCATTATACAGTCTGATATTTATGACTCTTCTGTAAATGGCGACATGCCGCGTCCGCATACAATACATATTTTTATGCATCTGAGTGGGCGGCGTGTGAATGAGCTTGTGTTGGCGTCAGCCCAAACGTGTCAACAGCAGAAGTGCGACGAACGTCAGCACTTTGACAATATCCAGCTGATATAGCGAAACTTGACAGTGGAAATTAAATCCATGATCATGATAAATGTCTTGCTTTTTTTCTAAGAAAATAATTGTGTGTTGATTTCGTTGACCAGAATATTAATATTATTTTTCTTTTTGTTGCAGGTATTGCCGTTAGTGTGAGTGCAAGTGATGTCGTTGACGTCAGTGAGGAAAACGACAAGTGTGTGAAACAAGAGGAAGTGAGCAAGTCGTCGGTGGTTACTAACAGTGAAATTGAAGTGAGGAGTGAAGTGAGTAGTGGTGCGAACGCGGATGGTGTTGTTAGCGCCGTGGCCTCAGAGGAGGACGACTGTGTGATAGTGTGCGCGCGAGATGCGGACGATAGGTCCGACTCCGGCGTGAGTGGCGTGCGGTCCGGCGGGTCAGCGAGCTCGGTGGAGGACCGCGAGTGGCGCGGCATGGCGCACGGCTATGGCGGCGGTCCCCCTCCGCCCCTACTCCACCTGCCCCCGCCGCCGCCCGCGCTCTACGCCAACGAGCTGCTGTGGAAGCAGCGTTACCAGGCGCCCATACATGCGCCGCTCCATCATGCCATCGCTGATGACTACCTGGCGGCGGCGACATACGATAGAGAGAGACATGAAAGACTGCTACGGTGAGAAATTTTCTTAATTTTATTTTAGTGTAGGTATGATCTGTCTTCATACGATAAAGACGGAAAAAACCATCTACTCATTTTGAAAAACAGTTCAGATTCAGTTGATATCTGAATGGAAGAGAATTGACAATAAACGAACACACCTGTTTTTTTTCCATAAATTAATTTTCTTGGGTCTCGGACAGTGGATATATTTATCTACTGTGGTTGGGACCTGTATTGATTGGCTACGCTTGAATATGTGAGTCAGTTGTTCTGGCGGTTTAGCAAACATCGTGAGTCACAATCCTAATAAATTAACAATATCACTGCTCCACTATTTCCCGGAAATTTCAATTTTATGCAGCTATGTGTTATTCTATTCATATTTCAGTAATTTATTAAATTTCGATGTCGTATTCATTGCGACAACAAAATAGCTGAGCCATTGATAAGTAATGTTAATCCAATGAAAAGTTCCAAAAGAATACAGGCAGAACGTAAATAAAGTTGTTAAAATTTATAGCGTGTCCTGGTTTTCGTGTATATTTATCATTCGTATTGTAACAATGCGCATATTAATTCTAGATACGATCTGATGATTGACTTTGAATATACATACTTTACTAACGCCCACTATCAATTAACTTTATTTTTAGCTCATAAAACGTTGTTTTTCATATTTAATCAATTTAAAACTAGTATATCGGTGAATGTATATTTTTAAATATATCAGATTCTTATTTATATTAAATTCTGAATAACTCGTTATATAGTATAATTTTTATAAAAGATGTTGATGATAGTTTCTCCAGTTAGTTTTTTTTACACAATTATTTGCTCATACTTTTAATAATTAGGCAAAGGTTAGACAAATGCATAAATATCCATTGAAAATTCCCTGAGTATCAAGTTTCCTTGAGTTTTAATTGAAAATAATGTGTCATAATTCAGGAAATGATCTGAGTGAAATATCTGTAAATCACCAAAATTCACTACATATTTATAATCATCAGTACACATAAAAGTAGGTTTTGATATATTTTAGCCTTGAAATATTTAGTTTCCAAAAAGGTTTCACTGAGGACCGCTGCCACTATCTATACAAGTTTCTATGAAGTCGAAGAAAAAAAAAATCACTCGATTATATTCTTTAGACATTATTTGTTCATATTCATTTGATATTGCATTGTTGCGATAACATTCCAAGGTTGTTGATAGCGACGGTAACGTTTTTGGGACGTGATTAATCTTTGAGCGATCTCAGTTTTATTTATAAAACTTATTGATAAGGAATCTTCAGATAATATATCTGATAAGTATATTATTATCAATTGGAGTACTTAATGTTTCTTTCTAAAGCATAAACGATATAATATTCTGTGCTTTATTTTAATGTTCCTAAATTAAGTTAATTCTTAGTTTTTATAAATAATGTAGGAATGTTTAATATTACCTATTTAATGGGAATAGTTGACATGGACACAATTATTGATCATTATATCTATAATTGTATTAGTTTAATTGAATAAATAAAATATCAAAGATCTATCGAGAGCATTATGAGGTAACTGGTTTATTTATATACGGTCGTTACGTTCATAACTATAATCATAGTCATGTAATGTGATAATTTGCAATAAAACTACTCGTTTATATGTTCATGGTCAAATTATGATAATATCAGCATGTGGCAGCAGTCTTGTGATGTTGCTCAAGGTGGTTTCCGTTAGTTTGAAAGTTCTGGGCCAAGGTTAGTGGAACTGGTAACGTCTGATATATATAAAAGTGTTTTGTGGTACAAATACATTAAAATTAAATAATTCCATTGCCCGTAATTTCATAAAATCATCAATTGATTTTTAACTATATATTAAAGTTATCGATCAAATTTCTTTTCAGATATAAGGATGAGGTTTTAAAATCTATGATTAATTATTTTTCTGTTATAAAGTATGGCATTAAGTCTGAAGTCTGAATATGTGGTATGGTACGCAAATGCGATATTAAACATCATAATTTATATAGTTTAAACTTATCCCGTAACAGCTCTGTATCTCCACGAACCTCCTAAGTCATCCTCTAAAAAATTATGTTTAAACAAAAATAAAATTTATCAAGAATCGTGTCTGATTTTAGCCCAAATTTCTATTCCTTCTTCTTGCATCGTGTCGTGTCGTGATTTCAGGTTACTTCCAGTCGATTATAGTCCGGCATTTGATTCTGTCCTCTCCGTTATGGATCGCTTGTCGAGAATTAAGCTCATCTTTTTCTCCGAGGCATCTGTCCGCTTCTTACCCTCCACCTTGCCTGTGATAAACAACATTTCAAGTTTATCACTACTTATTCAACGAGGAACTCAAGTATTCTACGAGGAAACACGTAGTGGATATTTTAATAGGTGGATTTGAATAGGTGGATTATTTTATATCTGTTGGACTTACACACAAGAGATTAACGAAAGGCAGGTTACATAGTTTCCCAGTGTTTGAATTTAGAGTTATACTTAAAACAAAAACGGTCGGATGTTGAGAGTGGAAAGCAGAAAGAGAGATAGAAGCGGATAACTTGGTAATGCCTAAAATAGATATGAAATAGTTGAATAATTTCTGTGACCTTGATTTGACATTGAAAGAAACAAAGGTTTTATAATATTATTATTCGAATGCACATAATACCTACTGTCCTAATATCCTGTTTTGATTTATCTTATCAATAATACAAGACAGAATATATTGCTCGCATTTTTCTGAAATCATTTTCGAGCGAGCAGATAGTTATCTTGATTATATAGGTAAAAACATATAAAAAATACAACTTCTATTTTTGTAAATTTTGCGTTACTATGCTATTTTTGATATTTATCATTGAAATTACTTAACAAAAATGTCGGGTTCCCTGGGCACTACTCAGATGTTATTTAAGATATACAATTTTCTACGTTTTTAAAAAAAGAGTTCTTTGAAGTGAACTTTGTCGATTAATGTATTTATAAAGGTTGTGAAGAAACTTTTTTTAATATGAAACTATTTCTATGTTGTTTTCAAATATATAAAACAGACTGCGCATTATCACATTCTATATTATTATTGTAAATATTTATTCCGTAGCAAAATAAGGTAATGAATAGTTTGGAATGTTTTTGTTACATATGAAATCGTCATTTGTGCTTACAAATATAGCACCGAAAATGAGATATACATGGAAAGAACTTATTTCCATATTTCCTAAGTTGGTTAATACAGGTGTTCAAGTAACACTTGTTAAGACAAAAACGGTTATTGTTACTAGAAAATATAGTAGGTAAAGAATATATAATATAGGTAGGTCTTAGTTTTCTTTATTTTTATTTTTTTATAGCATATATATATGCTTTAATAGTAAAGCTAAATTTGTATGTATGTAGAGAAACAAGATAATAGTGTGTGGTCTTATGTTGTAGATCTTTTAACGGTTATTTACTAGGGAATCATATGGCAACGTTATTCAATTAAAAAGTTAAATTACATCTGTTTATTTTTCATTATCTTTGCTTTTTTGCAAAGTGACCTTTTACCCCACTCCCATCAAGAGGATTTTTTAAGAATTTATCATTAAGAATATTTTTCAGTGTAGCATTGAGAATGCGAAATTTTTACTGTCTACTACTGCATTATTATTTGCGACGAATCTTGTAAAAGTTAAGTTGCCATTTCTTTAAACCATATCCATAAAATAGGTAAATAATCTCATTCCCTCTACAAATACTGCTATCAATCGTTTTCATTTTTATCATCTTGAAATTTAATTTAATTGTAGCCCATCCATCTATTGAATCATTGTCTATTTCTGTTAATAATGTCTACAAATCGGATGATTTTCTGCTAAAATCACGGCATTCTGCATGTAGCAAACAACTAACAATTAGGTCCCATTAAAAATTATATTCTTTGAAGATAATGATTATCGAGACGTAACTTTGATTTGTCACCAATCAATCCTTTGTTACGTACTCGTATTTACTTATGAAAACTACTACTTTCTTCACAAAACGTCTTAATCCTGTATCGATAATATGTCCTCAGAGATCCATTTGTACGATATTTCAAATGGTTTTACAGCATCCACGAAACTTCTGATATGTAGCAAATTCCGCTCTTTAGCATATTATGTAAGTATGCTAATTACCTTCATACTCACTGCGTTTTGGTATCATGCCTTGTAAAGTTTATTCAATTAGTTTAAATAAACCTGGTGCCTTTTTAATAAACTATTGTCAATTAACTAATCCGGTTGTAATTTACCTTTGGTTATTTTTTGTAAGCTTTCATTTAATAATGTCTTTCAATCCTACCTGGATTGTCCGGTGTTGATTTTATTAGAAAGTTGTTCTTGGGCCATGTATTTTTCATAATTATCTGTAGAAAGTAGTCATTAATAGAAAAAAAATAGGCATTATGAAACTTCGAATTCTTAACGTTATTTAAAAATAAACTGTGTAATTAACTAGTATTTAACAATACACTATTAGTAATGCTAAAAGATACTATGCTGACCTGTTCACAATGGCTCTATAATGGAGTTTAAATTATGTTTATTGTTAAAATTTCATTCCTACCTGACGTTAAATATGATTAGTGCAATGACCTCTTCATGAATAATTGATTACAGATTATTTTATTATTTTTTAATATTTTGTTTATTATTTATTTGATACAATCTATTACAAAACAATCTATGTAATAGATTGTATCGAAAAAGGTGCTATTGAAACGCCACAATAGGCTAGTTGCCAACTTTTTTTTTATTTCATAAATAAATAGTCCATTAACATCTGAGAAATAATGTCGAAGTAACATCATGTCTGCGATTAATAGTTTTGGAGATACGGTGCTGTGTTTGTAGAACTGCTGCTAGTTGGCCGAAAACGCTCCCTACAAATTCAAGGCACTAAGTGACGTCACATGGTGGTACTGTAGCGAAAAATGTATGGGCGTCTGGACATTTTTTTGTAATATCTTTATTATTTGTGCGTTTATGTTTAAAGTTGTTATAATGAAAATTGTAACATTTTTTATATCCAATTTAATGCCTAATGTATTTTAGCAAATTTTTGTAGTAGATTTTTTCTACTTTTTTCAAATTTTCAAAGCGTAAAATTTTCCAAATCAGTGACTTAAAATTTGTTTTGTTAAACAATTATAAGTTAAAATGGTTCATATTTTTCGAAGATATAACAAAAACCTGTATTTTCACTTGTAGGACACAAGCCTATTGAAACGAATATCACCATCATATTAATAGATCGCTAGATGTCGTATTTAGAGCTCTTATTATCTATATCTTCTCGGATGGATTATGCAGAACTTGAAGTCGTTTCGTAATATTTGATTTCCCACTTAAAATATTCCCATTCCATAAATTCCTTATTGGCCAGAGTTTAGCTTATTTTATATTATAACATATACAAAGTAACGAAAAACCTCAGAAAGAAACTGCTTTTATTTTGCATTATTTAAATAATGAATACATAAAGCAGTGCTTGTAAACAGTGATCGGTAATAACTGTTTACTTTGTTTACAATAAATTTAACGCGGGTTATAAAGACAAAATACTGTCCATACAAATATCATGGCACTCGGTAATGAAACAGATTAGGGTTTAATGATTGGGAATTGTGCGTCAAAATGACTCACATATTTATCAGTTTGCACAAGTTTATTTATATTAGTTTCTTAAGTTAAAAGCTCTATGATAAAAGAGAATTAATTATGAGAAATAATGAAAACGTTAATTTTAGAGGTAACTTACTTTTTTTATGGAAAAGAAAATCCTTTCAATGTTTTCAAATCTCTAACATATATTGTAGTTTTCTGATTTCTAATCATAACTCATGAAGACGTTTTTTCTTTTTGCACAACCAAATTAAAGTTTGTTGTTTGGAATGGTAGACTTTTTTTGTTTCAGGCACTATTCCTAATTAACACAATACACTTAAGTAAGTGGCCTTGAGCGAAGATGGCGTGTATTATGTGATCGCTAACTAAAAATAGTCGAGGGTTATAAAACAAAGACAATCACTTTGCTATAAAACCATGGTAATTTGCGAAACTATATAGTCATTAATTCATTTTAATAAATCATATTTTAATTCCCTAGCCAATTATGCCATTTGTTTTCATATATTAAAATACTATATATAAAATTGCCAAGACTAGTTGGTGTGTGATATCTTAATTTAGAAAAGGTCAATAATATATTCGTTTCATCAAAATAAATTGATCATTGTCGAAATAAAAGAGACGTCAACAGATATTTGTGCCTAATGTGACGTGATTGTGACGTTAAATAATAATACCTAATTTTAACACGGGTATTGTTTCTTAGAAAACAATTAACGAAACATTAGTTAGATTTTATTGATATTTAGTTTTATATTAATGACATAGGATACCACTTGTCAAGTATAATGGCCAAAATAATTAAATAACATTAAGATGCCATTATACCGTTAGCATTACACTAAAGATTGTATCATGACCTTTGAATTGGTCATATTGTAACAGTTATTCTTATCTATTATAGTATTGAAACTAAATAGACCTATCGGAATTGTAACAACATTTCAAGGTTAACTATCGGTAAGCGATGTAAAGCAATAAAATAACTTATTCTTTACAAACGCTCATTGATCAAGCGATATATTACAAAACACTTAGTTATTATTTTAGCTTGATATGTCATCCTATATTCTAAAGGTGAGAACATATAGACGTTTAATGACCTTTCACGTTAAAACTACTGAGCGCATTTTGATGTTTGGTATACGCATAATTCTAAGCCTAAATTAACATATATGCTACTTCTTAACCCACTAAACAGTTCCCTATTGAACACGCGAGTGAAGTCGCTAGCGAAAGCTAGTGAAAGCTAGTCGTTATATAAATAATCGAAAATATCTATTAATAAATAGTTAAAACTTAATGACGCTGGTTCAGACTTCTACAACATAAATAATAAGTTTAGTTTATCAGCTAGCCTAGCATATATTTGTGGGATTGGAACCGGCGGGCTCCTTGCTGGACCCCCGGTCCTTCCCTCCCAAAAGGTTACTCGCAGTGGGTTTTACCACCTTGCTAGAGCCTGTCCTTTTCAGCACGGGTGCAGGGTCGGAGAGCCCTGGTTTGAAACTTAAATGTTAATTTCTCCTGGTTATAAAAAAACCTAATATATATATCTAGGGTTATAAACAAAGCCAATTTTAATTAATGTATTCTCCTTGTTCATCAGCCAAAATACGAGCAACTGCTTGGCACAGGCCTTCTCAAACACGGGGAGGTACCCCAATATATCTCAATTAAGGTCAGTTCCATAAATGGTTTAGTTGTTAATTTTATTTTCCAGTTCTTTTTCCTTGTCAATAGCTGTGGTCATGTATATGTTATATGTTTAGATTGTGTATAATTGCGAACAGGTTATCTTGATGTGGTTAATTTATATGGAGGTGTTATATTTTCTCTTAAGTCTTCTTCTTTACTTTGTTATCATTTTTTAAATATGCTTACCATACCTTCGACATTTCATAATTAAAATTACACAATAACAATTAACATGGTCTCAAATTTGCTAATGTAAACATAATTATATTATGACGGTGGCGTTTCAATAACTGCTTTTTTGACACAGTTCTTGTTACTATGTCAAAAATTGACAAGAATTCTGCCATCATTGATTCATCAACCAGCTATTGTGCTAACAATATTTTTCGTCAGGTAGACAAAGCAGTAGGATAATGCTATTATTGAAATGCCGTTAAAGTGCTAAGTTATTAACGTTAACATTAGCATAATCGAGATCAGATCAACTGATTTCTAAATGCTCATAACTTTCAAATTACAATAAAAAGTTACGCGCCATCCGTTTAGTTCATAAGTAAGATTACTAAATCCCGTAAAGTTATAATTTAATATTTTTTTAAAGATAAAAAATTACGATGCTTTAAATGTAATAAGTGTTATTATTCAGAGAAATTTACTAATAATATTTGATTTAGAACTCGATCCTTGTGATCTATTCAAATAGTAAATGTATCTGAGAATGAAATACTCCTTTAATATTCTTACGTAGTAGTTACACACGGCTTATACCTAGGAATCTAGGAATATAAGGTTATACGGGCTATAGGTGTTCTCTTTGTTACTCATTGACTGATCCAATTTGTCATATTTGTCAGTGGCTAAATTATATAGTTTACTCTTTGGATTAAAATTTTATAAACAGCGACAGTTCTTAAGTAGTACTTTTTTCTTCCTTTATCATATGATAAAAGAGAGAATCTAAACAACGTAATTTTACGTGAAATGAGAGAGCAATTAAAAACTATTTCATTAAGAAATACGAATGTGTACTCGTAGAACAATTGAAACAACGGTTATGAAGACTGGTTGAAAGGTATTCTCTTTGATGAAATATATTAATATTATTTAATTTACGTATACATGTTGCTAATGTCTAATAATCAGGACAATAACCCTGATTTAATTTAATTTATTTAAAATTGCCACAACGAACTGTATTTATTATAAGTCTTATCTTTTAAACTGCTTAGTTAATACACGTATGATTTGAAGCCAATTGACGTGATTATTTATTTGAACTTTAGAAAGTTATTCTTTTAAGAGATATAATAGGTACACATTTTAGGCTAGTGGTAACAATTTTGGTATACAAAATTTTTCGAATATGTATCTAAATCTTATTATATTAGTATAATATCTTAACTTAAACCGTACAATCTAACCCAAATGAAAAATATGTGTTAGATTAAGGTCATCGTTGAGTTTATCTGCAAATGGCCCAAGATTTCAAATGTGGTTAAAAATTATCAGTGCAATGTCAAAGTCATGAGAAATTAATTTAATAATAATATCACGAGGCTATTTACAAACTACAATAGGAATGGCGACTAATTTTGTTCGTTTTGTCCGTCAGGTCGGTTGGACTGACGGAACAAATTGAAATTCATGTTTTTACCCATACATTCGATTTCACAAAAAATAGTTAATCGTTCTGGAATGATCTAATGACTTTTTTTTTCAACATTGCTACGTATGATAGTATAATATTCGATAAGATAGCTGATAATTATGATAACAGATACGTCTTAGATAGGTACGCCTTATAAAAAATAAACAATTGACCTTGACCTACTTTTACAACTTATACAAGGCTTACACAAGTCATGTGATTCCAAACAGAAATTTACTATCCATATTTGTCATTGATATATGTAGGTATTTATTGAATTTAATGATGATAAGCAGAATTTATCAGCATTACTAGTCATCTATTTTATTGACATGAGTTTATGATAAATGTTGTAATTAATAATTTTTATTAATGTTTGTTACATTTAAGTTTGAAGATAACAGTAATATTTTTATAAACGTTTTATTTTCTTTTGGTTATAGAGAAAGGAGAGATCAAGAGCAGAGGGAGCTCAAAGAAAGAAAAGAGAGAGAACGGATAGAGCAGGAAAGAGAACGAGAGCGCGAAAAGGAACGGGAGAGGGAGAAACAAGAGAGGGAAGAGAAGGAGAGGAGAGACCAAGAAAATGCCGCCTCCAAACTAGTCACCAGGCATTTCGAAGAGTCTTTCAGGCTGGCTAATCAGAAGGTTAATATTTGGCTATTATTATATTAAGTATTGTGAGTAATCACAATTGTTTTTATTATTTGAGACTTATATTTGAAGATACCTCCTTGTGAGTTTTATTAAAACTATTGAAACTGTTACATAATTGACATCTGCAATGTAAATTAAACACGACTATAACATTTTTTATCCAGAAAAAAAATCTTTTTGTTGTGTTTATTGATGAATCTAGAATTTTATTTATAAATAAAAATAAAATGTTTCAGTAACAGAGCTGGTCGGTGGTCTATTTTATTTTCTCTAATTTATTAAATTGATTATTCTAAATCTTTTGTATCTTTCCACAGAGGGAACGAAATATGTCGTGGTCAATATTGAACAGTTTGGCACCGAACAGGGGGGCAGCGGGGCCTGACCACGACCGAGTGCGTGCTACTCCACAAGATCGCGCTTACTACTCTACAGCAGCACACCCTTCACATCCTGCACACCCATCACCCCGCGCTCCCGCTCCTTCCCCCGCTGACTACAATGCCAGACTTTCGATCTCCAAACAAGAGAAATCTCCCCATCCTTCTCTACCTAAAACCGAACCTAATTTCGGACCTTACAATTATCCTTATAGACCCTATGATAAGTTAAAAGATCAGCACTTACCGGCACCACCGCCGCTAGTGCCTGAAAAAAATTCTGTGATAGTCAAGCACGATGCGAAACAGATCCACCTCGAACAAAAGCACCCGTATCCCAGCAAACCTCGGAGCGAATTATCCACTCATTACCTTCCTTCACGGCCGTACAGGACGGGACTCTCGCCTCATGCGCCCGCTCATCCACATCCGGCTTTACAAACTTCGCCTCACGCCGCGCTCCCTGCCCAAGACAAAAACAACAGACGGCCACTTTATCAACCCCCGCCCCAACGATCGCCGGCGTACTATCAAGCGGCCCCACCTGCTAAGCCGAAAGTATCCAGTCCGGCGCCGCCGCACATATACGGCAAGCCGAGTAATTCGCCAAGTCCAGCGCACTACGCGGTCGCCGTCGAACCCCCGTTACCGTTGACGAAGGCCGAGCCTCCACCGGTGCCGTACCCTCCACCGTCCGCGTATTCCCCCGCGCCCCGTACGAGGCCGCCGCCGGTGGCCACGCACTGTCGGACACCGGAACCGAGGCCGCCGCCGAGAGCTCACGGCGACACCAACGTATCGTCACCCTGCCAGACGCAACCGCTCGATCTCGGCGTAGGGCGCGAAGATCCCGATAGATTATCGCCGCGACGAAGGTGTCCCTTCGAGTCGGCCGAAGCGGAAGCGAAACGGAGGCGACTCGATGAAGTCGCTACGACGGAACCTTTGATAGCGGCCGCCGCTAGCGTCGGGAGGACGCCGCACGGGTCGGAGCCCGCCCCGCAGGCGCCCGGCCCGCCCTGTGACGTGAGAGTTCCATCTGCAGACGGGAGTGTTGAGACGCCGGAACGTGCGGCGGGAGCCTCGCCCGCGCCTCAAATGACACCGGCAGCTAGTCCAGCTCCGGCGACGCCGGTCCCGCCCGTCGCCGCATCACCCCCTACCGCCGCAGCACCTCCTCCTGTGCCAACACCGCCGGCTCCACCCGCAACGCCGCCCGTAACGCCGATCGCCGACGGTGATACTCCGGCCAAGTCGGCATCGTCGCCGCGAGACGGTTCGGCACCCGTCCGACATTTAGGTAAAAAAGCTTGGCTCCAACGCCACGAAACGGCCCCGATCGGCGAAGGCGACTGCTCAGGCGGGGGCGGCACGTGTATCACGCTCCCGATGACGATCACGAGAGTCTCCGAACCGGACGATTCGAGTTCGAATATTGTAGTTCCGGTCGCTGCCAAATCTATTCAGCGTGGCGCTCGAAAGACATCGAAGCCGCGCAAACCGAAGGAAATTAACGGGAGAGTAGACGATGCCGAGGAGGATAGTTCCAGTTCCGATAGAGAATCAGCGGCGCCACCTAAGCGGAAACCGCCAAAAGCGAAACGGAAAAAGGGTGTTGTACCGAGAAAAGCTGGCGACGAACCGAAGAAGAAGAAGGCGTCCGAAAGCGGCAGCGAGAGCGATAAGGAGAGCGATGACAAAGATTCCGATTCCGGCGCCAGTGGGAGCGGAAGTGGAAGTACGTCTAGTAAACGCGGAGGTGGAGGCCGTGCTCGAGGGCGAAGGTCAAGAGGAGGAGGCGGCGGCCGAGGCGGTCGACGGAAAGAAGACCCGCCGCGACGGACGCCAACTAACGCGCAGGCGCGATTGACAAACGAGTCTTTCCTCCAAAACGGACCTTGCTTCGAGGTGGCCCCCAGGCTCGCTAAATGCCGCGAATGCCGATGGTCACCGGCGCAGCGGGATAAAGACATGCCGAATATCTTTTGCCGCTTTTACGCTTTCCGAAGACTGAAGTACGCCAACAAGAATAGACAACTAGCTATAGCTGGCTTCTCAGACCCTTACAAGGATGCTGATGAGGTACTTATTATTTATATTTTATATGCACTACTCATTAAATAAAATTACTTTCAAAGTGTTGTCGCGTGTATTTTTAAAAAATATAACATTTTACACACATTTTGTAAGGCTCCGTGTACACTACACTGAGATGTCTGTGAAATGGAGTAGATAAAACCATTCAAAAGTAGTTTTATATAGTTAAATTTCTTATAACTATCTTACTTTCATTGGCAGGCAGTTAGTAAATTTTTTATTTTCCTATTTAAAAATTTATATTTTTATCTTGTAGGAGGATAAAAAGTTATGGCTGTCATCGTCCGCCGGAGCAGCGGAATTAGATATAGAGATGAGTTGCTTCCTATTGAGGGAGATTGGAGACCAGTTCTGTGAACTGCTACAACAAGAAAAAGAGGCGGAATCACACCACCTCAACGATGGTAAGAATATTTGTTTTGATAACTAAATGGAATCAACAAATTTATCACATAACCTGTTATGTGGGTATGCTCATTATCTAGAAGGAAATTTAATATGCAGCAACAAAAATATCACCTTATTTGTTCCTACAACTTCTGTAAAATCACATATTTTTTGCTTACTTTAATGTATAACTAATGGCTGATATTTTTCTCTCCACAGATAAAACAATAGCGTGGAAAAGAGTAGTGCAAGGTGTGAGAGAAATATGTGATGTGTGTGAAACTACCCTATTTAATTTTCACTGGACGTGCGGCAAATGCGGCTTCGTCGTCTGTTTAGATTGTTATAAGGTAACTTTCATTTAAAAAACTAAATAAACACCATTTTTAGCTATTTTGCTCTATATACAAAACTAAATACAAAAATATACAAAATTATAGTATTTACTTCAATTACATACATACATGATGAAGTCTAGAAAACTTTATTAGTTGATCTACTTATTTGCATGACTAATAATTTATTTTTTGTTTGCAGTCAAGGTCATCCGGCAGTGAGACCACTAACAATACCAATGAATCAAATAATACGTCGAATGTTAGCACCAACGGTGAAAGAGACGCTTTTGGGTGAGTTACATATTCAAAGTTTATTTTTTGTTTGTTTGAGTAAATGTACTTTTTAATAAAAATATTTTATTGCAAGTAAAGCTTAATGTTATAAAGTTTCTGTTATTTTTATAGTGAAGATCTATAAATATTAGCATCATATCAGTGTCTCTATGTATAACAAATACTATACGAATCTTTGAACGAAATATCGGAAAATTTCAAATCGTTTTTCTAATTACGTTATAATCATATCTGTGAAGATTATCTGTCCATCGCGTGCAGAGTCAGGTCCTGCCTCCCTTGCATCATAAATTATCGAAAAAAAAAGCGTTTTGGAGTCATATTTGCATTTCGGAAATCTATAGACCTTCAGTGGCCTAATTGTCTAATTATAAATCTATCACAGTTACCTTGAATTTGATATTTGAAAGATATTGATGGACTTCAAGCTACAACTTTTTGACATGTGATCGTGACGTTTTTTTGAAAAATATTTTATTAACGATAACGTTTATTTGACGTTTATCGGAATTACCTACCCAAGTGATAGTTACAAAAATCTTTGCAAAGTTATTGGAAAATGTCGAATGTAATGAATTGTCTATGACATTTGTATTATTCAAATCATCATTGATTCCAAAAGGAATTAGTAACTTCAAAATTACCACAATTCCATAAATAACTACCACAACCTCTATACATTTGAAAATTATTGTGATAGTATTTAAAATTAGATAATTAAACCTTCAGTTGTCGTGTAAGTTCGTACGTGTAATAATTTTGTCCGTTTTTCCGCATAGATGGTTGACGTGTACTTCGGGCGGTGCCCATCCTGTCCGTCGACTGTTGCTCACTCAGATTGCCGCCGGCGGCACTCTCGCCGATGTTGCCGCGCGATGTCACGCGGCACGCGCCAATTGGTCGTTGCCCGCGTGCGCATGCGGATTACATCCCGCGCCCACGCCCCAACATAAGCAACAAGCTAGACGATTATTGCATCGAGTACTCAATAAGGTGCGTCATCATCATTATTAGCAGCCACATCTGCTAAAATACAAAATCTTAGTTAAATACTAATAATGAATCTTAGTTTCCAAGATAAAGCAACCAACAAAGTATTGTATTGTATTTTATATTTGTGTAAAAATTGCACCCATGATGCTAAAAACCTGTTAATTTTTTTATTTACGAAATAGGTTTTACCAGTAGATGCAGCTTTAAATTTTCGCAAATAAACTCTGACATTTTATACTTAAGTGTTTTGAGTGGTTTTTGAAAGTTGCAGTGTTCTGAGCTGGAAATATTTTATGTAATTTCTTCTCAGTTCGATTCCAAGTCTGAATAAAGAAAAAAAAATGAACTCTGCCAAATTGTCTCTAGTATTCCTTGCGTAAAGGCAATTTTAAATATATTTTTATATAGGTTTCTTAATTTGCTTCTCAAGTTTTTTTTTCCTATTCTATTAGATAATGTTGTGACAGTCAAGTAGAATTGTAAGTTAACACTAGTTATGACTTGGCCATACTTTATTATCTTTGAATTTATAAACTCAAGGAAAGCGAACTCGCATAGAATAATATAAGCAGGTACTATAAATCAGTTTTTTTGTTACAGAATATTAAGAAAGAGGATGTCAAAGAGGAGAACGTTTCAACGAACGGGTCATCACCGGTCAAATCGGAAAATGGAAAGACTAGCAACAATGTAGTCAGTTGGCTCTCAGACATCCCATTGAAGACTGAGACAAAGGAAGAGAAATCAGATTCCAGCTCATCTGATTCTGAGGAGAGTGGCAACTTTTCAACATTGAGAGAGTTGTTAATACGGCCGGCGCCGGAAGGCGGGGATAGTCAGCCGAAGAAGAAACAAAAGAAGAACAAGGGAGATATCTTGGATGACGTAATTTCGAGTGTCGTCGAAGAGAAGAAAGACGAGGACGGCGAAGAGAAGCCATTCGCTTTGTCAAATGTCGTGAAGCGATACGACAGGAGGACGGGCAGGGAAGAGTTGCCCATTCGTATTATGACGCTGACGGAGTCGAAGCTGTTATATCCTGATGTGCCGCATGCGTGGCTCTGTGATGGCAAATTGTTACATTTGACGGATCCTGTGCATCCTGGCAATTATAAGCCATTCCAGGTAAATTTTTGAGTGACACAAAATACTGTCTAATTATAATTCAATAGGTGTAACGGCTATTTTTTGGTTGTTTATCCATCAGATAGATTATTGAAGAATGTGAAACAAGTATTTTTTTATTTTCTTCGTTATCAATTACGGCGACACATTGAGTTAAAATGTTGTATGACATAACACCTTTGTACATTTTCTAAATAGTTGTGACGTAAAGATCCCTCACTTCTCAACTTGAATGCCTATTATCTAAGCCTTTTCTTGTTAATTTGAAGCAAAGAAAAATGTATCTGATATTTTTCTATTATCTGACCGACAGACTAGATAGATTTTTTAAAACCAAGTCATCATCCCTATTACATATATTTGACTTTTTACAATTTTTATATAAAAAAAAATTGTTATTGGAGTTGTTCGTTTTTATTAATGGTAATTTTTTTTATCACAGGATCAATGGAAACGCGGCCAACCAGTTCTAGTCTCAGACGTTTCGAATATACTCGATAAGGATTTATGGACCCCCGATAGTTTCTCTCGGGATTTCGGCGACACGAGAGTCGACTTAGTCAACTGCGCCTCAGGATTAGTGGTGCCCAATCAGCCCGCCAGGAAATTCTGGGACGGCTTCGAGTTAGCAGCCAAACGGCTCCGGGACGAGCGTGGCGCCCCTATGGTCCTCAAATTGAAAGACTGGCCACCGGGCGAAGACTTCGCGGAGCTCCTGCCGACCAGGTTCGACGATCTCATGCGAGCTCTGCCCCTCGGCGAGTACACGTCGAGAAACGGAAAACTCAACTTGGCCGCTCGTCTGCCGGAATGCTTCGTCCGACCGGACTTGGGGCCGAAGATGTATACCGCTTATGGAGGCGCTGGAGGCACGACTAATTTACATCTGGACGTCAGCGACGCCGTCAACGTGATGGTCCACGCCAGTGCACCGGCGGATGCGCCCGAGCGTGCCCGAGAAGCGGCGAGAGCGGCCGACGAAGCCGGCGTAGATGTACTATCCAGGCGGAGAGCGCGCGTCAAACCGCCGGCGGCTTTATGGCACATATATGCCGCTAAAGACGCGGATAAGATCCGCGATTTCCTAGTCCGCGCGGAATTGGAGAGAGGTGCCAGACCACGACCCCAGCATGACCCCGTCCACGACCAGACCTGGTATTTAGACGCGACGTTGCGCGAACGCTTGTACCGCGAGTACGGCGTCGAGGGCTACGCCATATTGCAATGCCCCGGCGACGCTGTTTTCGTGCCGGCCGGTGCTCCGCATCAAGTCAGGAATCTGTTGGATTGCATCAAAGTTGCCGAAGATTTCGTGTCGCCCGAGAACGTATCTCGGTGCTTTGAACTCGCCCAGCAGTTCCGCCGATTGTCACGTCAGCACTCCAATAAAGAAGATAAGCTGCAGATAAAGAACATCGTGTACCACGCGGTCAAAGACTCACTCTGCTGCTTAGAGGAAGCTTTCGCCGAAGCCAGCAAATAGAGCAGAGCAGGCCTCCCGCATTTGATCTCAACCTCGACGTAACATTAATCGCTAAGTTCCGCATTTAACGTAAGATTGGGAGCGAGTATGATACGCGCTGTGCGCCGTTTCGTGTGTAAGATGCCATTTTTAAGCGTCCGAGTGGATTGTGTACCAGTTGTGTAAATGTACTCGAAATGTGATTTAGTCCGATGGTCGCAGTCGGAGTATGTGCAATGTAAATTAGTCTGATTATGGTGATATCGTTGAGCGGTGGATATGTTTTATGTTCCTTAATCGAAATACAAATAAACTCTTCTTTGCTTAATTGTAGCTATAGTGTTATGTATGTATTGTGTAAATTTTTAATTCGAATTCCATCGAGTACATATTAAGAAGTGTATACTTTTAAGTTATTGTATTGAAGTAAAACGTATTCGCTCGAAGCATTGTACATTAAAACACGGCGTGTAGATAAGTTTTTCCTATAATTAGATTTCTCAATTTGGTTAGTATGTTACAAAATGATAGTTTAACGAAGTATGTGACAATTTCTTTTTGTCCTTATCGCTGTATTAGACGAAAGCAAGTTTTTTTTGTACTGTGTATATTATGTACGGTTATAAGTTGGAATAAAAAAAAAGATGTTTATATTACTCTGTGTTTTTATTTACCCTGTGTTTGTTCACATATTGGTCTAAAATATGAAATTTAGTAACTGGACAGATTTATACAATTTAAGTTGGCAGTCCCAAACACTTATGAGTTTCGATACTCTGTTCGCCCGTGTCCATTACGCTGCTGGCAGCCACACTTAGATTTTGAAAGAATTCTTGATAGATGGATCCAAAATTCTCTTATTTATCAGTATGTTACGAAATAAGGATATAGTTTCGGAGATAAATGAGAATATTTGTGATGGTGCTGGACTGATAGGCCGGGTAGCGCCATAACTAGTAGATATAATCGATTCTAAGAGGCTTACGAGTCATCTTTTAATTCCTTATTTATCAGTCTGGGACACAGTGCTGATTAATAGCTAAAGACGCTTAAAAATAATGTGGCGTCGCTGGGCTGGCGTCAGTCTGGCAGCGCCACAGGTCATTTTTTAATATCTTATTTATCACTGAGACAGCGTAATAAATTGCTAAAGGAAGTACTTTTAGACATTAAGAAATATTGTTAAAACTATTCTAAATTATAGCACTTTAGAAGTAGACTAATTAATTACCTGACTGCAAAGGAAGGGTTATGTTTTTCGCGCGTATCTTTTACGTATGTAATATTCTTTTTTACCTCTATCTTAAGAACCGCTGAACGTATTTAGATAATTGAGAGTATCGTTAGATTTCTCTTAGAAGCCAAGTGTTCTAAGACAGGTAATGTTAATAAAATCAAATACTATAAATTATATTTTTATGTTTTAAATACCTATATGGATATCAAATTAAGGGCTTAATACGAGGGTCCCAAAAGGTATACCATGATTATCATTACCGTAATACTAATAAAAATAACAACGATAAAGTTTAAAAAATGGACTTTATTCTTTTACGTTCTGAACCAATATGTTGTTTTGTCAAACTTTAAATAAACAATAATTAAAATAAATCAAAAAACCCACCTGCGTGATAAACAACTAACATGAAATTGAATAATAAGCTAATCATTCTCTGTGCATATGTACCTCTGCTGGAAAAAAATTGAAAAGGCCGGGATTTTGGGATCGTGGTAGGGACAAAAACTACTAATAAATAAAATTAAGATAATAACTAGTATCTACTTTTTTGGCAAATTATGAGATCACATAATAATATAACATTCGAATAGCTAATAAATAAATAAATGTTACCTAATAAATAAATAAATAGCTGATGTACCTACTCAGAAATCATTTTACAGCGTCTTACATTTTTTTGTAGGGAAATATTTGTTTTTTTCGGGACTGTTCGAAACGAATAATCGACTCGCCACATCACTAGTTTTAAGTTGCTGTAACGGTTTTTTTTTTCATTATTTTTATTCCTTTTCTGTTGGTTCAAGCGAGTACACGCATTTGTAAAAAACCCGAATTTTATTAATTTGCACCTTTTAATACCAGACCCCTACATGGTCCTAATCTACGCCAGATATTAAGTTCCAGCTGATTCATTGGTTACGAAACCGGTTTACTTCGCATTTGGATTCTACGCGCAGTAATTGCATTGGGGATTGCGCATCGTAAAAGAGTGGTCGAGAGTAGTTCAAAGTATAACGGAAAAAAACGTTTGTGAAGTGGAGCAAATAAATTAATTTAAGAACCCAACACTCTAATCAGGTATTTTTAGGTGTACAATTGAGTTTTATATAAGGTTAGTAATATTCAATCTACTAATTTCTAACTAAACTGTGTAATTTTGTACGACAAGGCACCGGTCACAAATTATTGTGAAAACTTGCAGTGTAGATAAATTTAGTTATGGTGGTCAATTATTTATGCTATTGTTTGAGTTGACTACCAATTATTTTCAACGAATTTATCATTATTTTTACACTCATAATTTTTAATTTTCAATTGTAGGTACCGACATATTGTACGACATAGTAGATGAATTCATTTAATTGAAATTAATTAGCCTTATTTATTTGTTATTCTCAATTAATTCAATCAATTCGTAATTATTTTGTGTCAATATTTGTATTAATTATTTGTAAAAATCAGTCAATATAATTTGAATACGGTAGGTGTAAAATTATTTAAAATTTGTATCGTCTCATCGCAGGTAATAAATTTATAGCATAGGATAGGATACATACCTGTTGTAATAAATAGCCTAGTACATAAGTAAACGTTATTACTGTATAAATTCCAGGATGACAGAGGAATTAAAAGTGCCAAGTCGACCCCAGTCTCCCAGAAATTCTGACGAAAAAGACTTAATCAAAAAAAGAAGCGTTATTAAAAGACGGTTAACTGCGTTCGCGAATTATTTAACGACTTTAGAAGGATCCTCGTTGAGTGGTCTGGAGGCCAGGGAGTTACAACTACGAATTGGTAAGGTTGAACCTTTATATAACGCTTACGATGAGATACAGTTGAAGATTGAGTGCCTTTCCGATGATGATTTACAAACAACCGAACGAATTGATTTTGAAAATAATTATTATCGTGTACTTGCTAATGCAGAGGGAATGTTAGATAATTATCAAAAGGCTCAAAATAAAGTAGAAAGTGAAAATAATTCTACCCGTTCCAAACATAATTTAGTTAAATTACCCACTATTCAGTTGCCGAAATTTTGTGGTTCATATGAAACGTGGATGGAGTTCCGTGATACATTTTCGAGTTTAATTGATAAAAATAATCAAATTGACCAAATAAGCAAATTTCATTATTTGAGAGCATCATTAGAAGGTTCTGCTGCTGTGGTAATTAAATCCATTGAGTTATCAGATTGTAATTATCCTATCGCTTGGAGGCTTTTGTGTGATCGTTTTGATAACAAACGTTTATTAATACAAAATCACGTTGCATCCTTATTTAATATCGAACCTGTCACAAAGGAGTCCTCTGTTAATTTGAAGCGTCTGATCGACCAGGTAAATAAGAATTTACGTTCATTGGAATCACTCGGTGAACCGATCGATCACTGGGATACTTTATTGATTTATATCATTACACAAAAATTAGATATAAAAACATTCCGTGAGTGGGAAGAACACAAAGGTAATTTGCCTAAAGACAAGCCAATAAGTTTCGAAGCCTTTCTTTTATTTATGCGTAATCGTACAGATTTAATTGAGACAATTGAATTGTCACAGAATAATACAATAAGTAACAAGAACTCGACTAAAATAAAAACTATGGTTTCTTATCAAGATCACAATAAAAATAATTCTAATTTATCGTCGCCGAAGCGATGCCCTAATTGTAATGATGATCATTATTTAAATAATTGTCCGAAGTTTCTAGCGTTAAATAGCGCAGCGCGATATAAATTGCTGCCTAGTTATAGGGTTTGTTTTAATTGTTTCCGTAGTGGACATTTCGCTAATTCTTGTAAACGTCCTGGTTGTAAAGTGTGTAAGCGCAGGCATCACACGCTTATTCATATAAACGAGTTTGACGCATCTAATCAGCTGTCTACGAAGATACCTATACCTGCCGAGCGCACAGTTGATCGCGATAAAAACCACATAGTTAGTTCGATGCCTACGCGCACGGGCAATCCGAGTGTCTCGCTCATTACGGGAAGCATCACCGCTGCATGCAATACATCCAGCCAGGTAAATGTCTTATTATCGACTGCGTTGGTAAAATTACGTGATTATAATGGTCGCGAGGTTGTCGCTCGGGCTGTTCTCGATAGCGGGAGTACATCGTGCTTAATGACCGAACGACTGCATAACAAATTGAACTTACCAGCTGATCGAACTAATAGAATTATTGTAGGTATAAATAATAAAACGTCGAGTATTAATAAAATGTGTCGATTGCCTATCGCATCCTTGAGTGAAAGTTACTCTAGTTTTATAAATTGTTTTATTCTGCCGTCGATTACTGATAACGTTCCCGGGTGTCAGATTGATATTAAGAATTTTAATATTCCGTCGAATATTTGTTTAGCGGATCCTAAGTTTTATGCGCCCGCCGCCATTGATATGATCATCGGCGCTGATGTTTTTTGGGACATTTTAGGTTCGCAAAATATTAAATTAGGCGATGGAATGCCGATACTTTATGAAACTAAACTAGGTTGGATAGTTTCCGGTCCTGTCAATTGCGGCCGTATATCTTATTTTCCACAAATGAAATGTAATTTTAATCAAGTTGATTCCGTGACTTCTCACTGTTCTGATGATGACATTCAAACCCAACTTACGCGGTTTTGGCAGCTCGAAGAAGTTGGCCGTCAGTCATCTCATTATTTTCCAGAAGAGAAGCATTGTGAAGAACATTTTGTAAAGAACACAACTCGCCTCGCAGATGGTCGTTTCTGTGTTAGAATCCCATTAAAACAAACACCGAACGTGTTAGGTGATTCATATCAGAGAGCGAAGCACTGTATGTTACCATTAGAGCGCAGGTTAAAAAAAAAAAAAAAATCAGTCATTTAGTAAAATGTACAATGAATTCATGTTAGAGTATGAGTCATTAAATCACATGACAGAGTGTGATCCGATAACATCGGTCCCTCATTATTTCATACCACATCATGGTGTTCTACGCGAAAGTAGTAGTACAACTAAGTTCCGACTAAAGAAAACCCCGCGGATTTAATATCACGCGGCATTGATATTTGTTCACTTCAGTCGTGCTCTTTGTGGTGGCATGGACCAGATTATTTAAAACGCGATCCATCGCACTGGCCTGCTACAGCAAACACTACTGAAAACTTGCCTGAAACTCGTAATGATATCTCATTACATGTTCGTGAATCAAGTCAGCATGAACTCATAGATTTCAATCGTTTCTCAAAATTGCTTAGGCTCCAACGCACTGTAGCATATGTTTTAAGATTTATAAATAATTTAAAAAAGGAAACGATACGTAAAACGAATTTTTTAGATTCTGATGAACTTGAAAAAGCCATGATTGTCATTTTACGTCAGTCACAGATTCAGTCATTTCCGGAATATAAGTTGTTAATTACAGGCAAGGACTTGCCGAAGAAAAGTCCACTTATAAAGTTTAATGTTTATTTAGATAACAATGATTTAATTCGCGTTGGAGGTCGATTAGAAAATTCAAATTTTTCATTTGAAAAGAAACACCCTATAATTATACAGTCCACACATCAAGTAACTAAGTTAATTTTTGAATTTGAACATAAAAAATTAATGCATGCCGGTCCTCAACTTTTATTGGCTACGATTAGAGAAACTTATTGGCCCATAGGCGGTCGAAATCTCGCAAAGAGGTGTTTTCGGCAGTGCATGCGTTGTCAACGTATGAATGGAAAATCATTTAATCCGTTAATGGGTAATTTACCTCAGCAGCGTCTTCAACCTGGTGGCTATCCGTTTGATAGTGTAGGTGTAGATTACGCCGGCCCGGTGGCCGTCGCGAGTCGTACTGGTCGCGGATGTAGGCTTATTAAATCCTACATTGCACTTTTTGTATGTTTCACGACTAAGGCGGTACATCTGGAGTTGGTGGGTGATTTAACGAGCAATAACTATTTATTAGCGTTGCGTAGATTTATATCACGCAGAGGAAAGCCCACTCATATATTTTCTGATAACGGTACCTCATTTGTGGGCGCTTATAACGATATTTCAAAATTTTTAAATAGTAATAGTGACTCACTGGCTTCGGATATGGCACAAGAGGGTATTCGTTTTCATTTTATACCTGCTTATAGTCCTACTTTCGGTGGCCTCTGGGAGGCTGGTATCAAGTCCTGTAAATTTCATTTAAATAGAGTGCTGGGCCAATGTAATTTAACGTTCGAGGAGCTCACTACCACGTTAGTACAAATCGAGGCGATACTTAATTCTCGGCCACTCTCTCCGTTGTCATCGGACCCCGCAGACTTGACACCACTCACACCCGGCCATTTTCTCATCGGCCGTCCACTAACTGCTTTGCCGGACCGAACGTTATCAGCGCATTGAACAGTTACGTCAGCATTTTTGGGCAAGATGGAGCAAGGAATACGTTAGTGAACTTCAACAACGAGTCAAATGGCAATCTGACGGATACTTTTTGAAGATCGATACTCTTGTCCTGTTGAAGGAAGATGGTCTTCCACCGTTAAAGTGGAAACTTGGACGTATTGTGGCTGTTCATCCCGGTACCAGTGACAACGTATGTCGTGTTGCGGACACAAGAACGGCGAACGGTGTTGTCCGAAGAAGTTATAGCAGGATAGTACCACTAATGATGCCTGGTGAAGATTTGGTTGAAGGACAAGTCTTCAACGCGCGAGGGCATGTTCGAAACGAATAATCGACTCGCCACATCACTAGTTTTAAGTTGCTGTAACGGTTTTTTTTTCATTATTCTTTTTTTCCTTTTCTGTTGGTTCAAGCGAGTACACGCATTTGTAAAAAACCCGAATTTTATTAATTTGCACCTTTTAATACCAGACCCCTACAGGGACTCTGGACATCATGGAAATATCCGACATCCTACGGACATACATATATACCACCACTCGAGGATACTATGATAATTTACGCAAATGATCTACTAAGTCATCAACCACAAAGTATTTTACCGCTCTGAGTATACCAATCAAATACATATTTTAGTTGCATATTACTTTTATAACTTGATAAACGTTAGAATCGGAATGACTGATACAATTGTGTTAGCAAATAGTAAACTTTCTTGATAGTAAAATCATAGCAAATCATAGATGGTTAAATGAGTATATTCATACCGAATCACAATCGGCAGGCGCTACACATTTTAATTTGTGTTAAAAGTTTCAACGTTATTCATTTAATCCAAATAAATTAGTAATTAAGTTCCAATGTTTTATGAAATCTATAGTATCTTCTTCTTCTTTTATCAATGGCTTATCTGCGCATTTCGCAATTTCTGCCAATAACTAGTGAATAAATTAATTGAAAGATTGCAAAGAGTAATAGTATACCTATATTATAGCGTGGTGTTTTACGCTGACATCAGGCACCACATTATTGTCATAATAATCTCTAAAAAGTTTTTACTTTGTCCCAGCTTGATAAATGAGGGTCATTGTTAACTGAAAAAGTTTTTGAATTCATTATAAATACTGTTTGTGTATTATTGATATTAATGCTATATTTACCTAAGATAACGTAACGGTGTAATATTGTGTGTCCATCAGTATGACAGTGCTACCTTTTGATTTTTGAAATAAAATCAGCCCGTATTTGCCATTATTATACATGTAGTGCCATCTATGGAGTAGTAGAATTAACACAGTAGAGCTTTAGCTTAATATGTATAAGCACACAATATCATACCACGCATTACAGATCTGTTAAGTACAAAATGTCGCTACTACACGATAGATGTCACGACAATGAGTAAATACCTTAATTTTATGTTTCAAACATATGTTTCAAAACCTTTTTTCCATCTAAGAACAATTTAGCTTTCCATTTTTTATTGTAACGGAGCAAAAGAATGAAATATGTATTAAGTACTCTTTATTTGTTTGATTATTTCCTTTGAAATGAGGGAATAGCAAAGTTTTTTCAAATTCGGTGTAGTAGTAGTGAATTGACTTTTGAAAAGAACCCATAAAAATAGTGACTAGTAAAAAAATTGGAAGTTGGGAGCTTAAAATTAGTACACAAAATACTCATCAAGCCTTAAGTTTCTTTAGTTTTTTACACATCATCATTTCAATATCAAATGCCGTGATGATATACTTAGCTACCGGAAAGATCTATGGTTGCTCCTCCTGTGAGAGGAAATCAATGCGATAGATAGATAATTTTGCATTAACTACTTGTACAAACCATTAAAAATTATTGAATTTTTGGGGTACTGTCTTATTGTTTCTCATTTTTAACTAAAACTATTAAACGATATTACTTTGTATATCAATTGAAAGCTAGTGATTTTTTGTTAACGCGCCCTCTTAAATCTTGTGAAAGAGGGCATAAACCTATCAAAAATCAATTCTTATCAAATTTTAAATAGTTCAAGTCAAGAGGAACACTTAACCTCCTCTTTTTTGTTTAAAATAATATATGAAATTACACTGAAATTATTTTATGTTCAGTGTAATTCGGAAATTTTGGATAAGCCCTAGCTAGGACAAATTAATTACAGCTTCTTTTTGTGATCAGGCTTCACATGCGCGTTAGAACAACGGCACAGGTTATTGGGCGTCTAAAATATCGGCGGCCCCATTTTTTTAAATTACGTACCAAAGTATTATGAAAATTATTACCTAAAAACATGACGAAGAATTTTCTTTAAAAAAATGTCACTTTTTCTATATTTTTCCAAAAGCCCTAGTACGGTGGCATAGGGTAATTAAAAAAAAATATATTACATATTTTTTAATACTCTTTATAATTGCTAAAATAACAAGTGTTCCCCAAAAAAGCAGAAATACTGAAGTATGTTAATCGTTTTCTTTTTAATAATATGATAATTATAAAGTGATAAGAAACGCATGGCCAGTAGCTACCTAATACTATAATACTTTTTTGGAACAAATTTTGGAATGAAAAAAATACATTTTAATAAATAATTTTGTTATTATTTTGATAAATTTTCCATTCAAAATGCTATAGTAAAATATATTCTTAATAAAAAATGTTAAAAAATCCACTTTGTCCCTGGAACTCTCTCCCCATATCAGAGTGCTAGCTAGGGACAAGATGGATTTTTAAGCATTTTCTTTAAGAATAAATAATTTTGTGTTTTAAAATATATTCAGTTAATAATTACCGTCCGTTAAAGACATCCAAAAAAGGAAAACATTTATGAGAATTTCAAAAACAAATTGCCATTTTAATAATTTGAAATCCTTGAGAATTGTAATTCAACAGATTCTTATTTTTCATTTCTCGGTTTCACACCATGTAAATGGGACGCATTCATTTTGATTTCTTCTCAGCAACAGGCAAATTTATTCCTGTTTGTTGTATTATTCGGCCCCTTCTACTGTTAACTATGCGCATAAAATATTTTCACGTAGATTGCCATGATTTTCGTTACATCGACTACTTTTTAAATAACTGGTGGAAGTCCGATTAAGCAGTGGTGCAATGGATTAAACAATTTGTGGTTTTGCTAACCTACTGTTGGGTTTGTAGTCTCCCCACTATTGACATATAAGAGACTGACTCCACTCGCCGTTGGCAGTTAGCATTCGGTGGGTGCGCACGATCAGATTTTTTTTAATCGAGCAAAAATCAAAATGAAGGCAATAACGTTGGCTGTTTTCGGTAAGTTTTTGTTCGCATATACTTTTTTATAGTAACCTGTTCTTAGAACGCGGTCACTCCGCTCATAAATTCTTCATAGAGTTTTTTTTTAAGATAGAAAAAGTCGATTTAAAATGTTAGTAGATTAAAGAAAAAAGGTGTACCTAATATATTCTGGATACTTGAAGATTTTATTGGAGGTAGGATACTGGGTGCTTTAAAATATAATCTGCTTTTTCACATTTACGGCTTTTTAAATTGAAATCTTATGAATATATTATTAAAATAAACCGTCATGGGTGTTCAATTACGATTTTGAAAGTATAAAGTCGTGAATTTTTTGTGAAAAAGTAAAAATGTCGGAAAAAGTAATTTGGTACACTAATATAATGGACCTTAGAAAAGGACATAGGACAGTTTTTATCGCGAATAAAACAGGTTTAAAGGGCTGAAATAAGGGACAAATATACGAAGAGCAAAAATAACTGATATCCACGCAAACGATGCCGCGGGTGGAAAGCCTATTTACAATAAGCCTTTGCTTTTTATTGATTATTTGATTGAAATGAAAACAGTAACGTTTTGTACACGTGGATTAATCACTTAAAAAATCGCTTTAAAAGATGTAGGTTCTTATATAGGTACTTCTCATATTTCAAAAACAAAAACAACATTATTACTCCAAACCTTCTGAATTTTTTAACAAATACTTTTAGAAGCTTTTATAATTCAAATAAAAAAGATGAGAATCTAATAAAAGATAAAAATAACTGAAAATTTAGATTAAAAAGAAAACGTTAAGGTAAATATACAATTAAATATGATTTAAAGGAATTCTACCAAGCATAGGTACATCTGTGCATTCTACTTTATAACAAGTTTAGTTTTTTAATATAATGTTTATTTGTACTATGAGTACCCTAAATCGTTGTAACATTGAAGTGGCCTAGGCTGGAATGGACTGGTCATTCTTCCTGTGATTATCTCATTGATCTACACAAAGTACAGCCGTAAAATGGTCACGCACAACAAAAATATTTTACATACATTTAGTATTTACTATTTATTTTTTGATGATATATATATTTTTTGTTATTATAAGGATACCAATTGTCTGTAAATATTAAATTGGTAGAAATAAAAACCCGCCAAGAAAAGTAGTTTCTTTATTATTTTTACTACAAATAAAGCTTAGGTGTCAATACTTATTCTCTCCCAGATTTAGCAACATTCTACCTCCGTGTTTGTAAAGACAGTATTCCTTAGACTTGATCGTTGTACAAATAAACATATTTATATATTTTGATTTCTCCTTTGTAGGATATATTCTCTTGATTCTAGAGTCAATGGCTCATTGCTATTACGAACCATTGACTCTAGATTCAAGTAGAACGTATGGTTAACGTAAAATACGCATTTCTCATCGTCTGATATAAGATTGCGACAGTATAAATTTTCTATGCGATTTTTTTTAAAGCCATATTTTACAATGGAGTTTTCTAACATTTTTCAACAAATAATGCAATTTTTTGTCTGGGATTACAAAGAGGTACTAACGCCAGCGGCTCTCAATATTTGTCTGTTTTTGGGGCTAAAAGTTATTCAACGGTCGTAGTTTTTTCTACACATAAACTTATGAGCAGATATCATATTTTGTTTCAGAATTAAGAGGATTTTGAAATGTGCTTCTTTTATATTTATCTTAAAAATGCTTAATAAAAGACCATCGCAGGTTCAGAGAATTCATATTTTTACGAAAGTTAATAAATTAATACCTACAATATTGTTGAATGTTTGTGTTCGTATTGTGTTGACCTTACCTCGGCCGCTAAGGTCGGCGCGAGCACAATGTTATCTTGATGAGTTATATTACATGATGAACTCAACAATTCACCATAAACGCAGATTTCCTACTGCCTATATCAACATTACCTATTAGATCAACAGCCTGTCCATGCGTCGATCTTTGTTCAAATAACAATAACTTCAATAACAATGTTAAAGAGCAAACATTAATGTCATTATTAAAAAAAAACCTAAATTTTATGCATTATATAGAGGTATTAACGACTGCAGATGCAAGCGGGACCAATGGCATATCGTGCCTTCCGAAGTACGGAGGAGTTAAATAGATTATAAATTATTGGTCATCCATCTTATGACTGGCCTTTGCAAAAGTTGCTGCTCAACAACATAATGGCAGACCGAGACCGCTAACCATTGCGCCATCGAGCTCCTCATATCACTGAATAGCGGGCACATTTCTACCTCTTTACAGTTCATATTTGAAATATTTGTTTCTTAGTAAAATATTTAATAAATATCAAAGCTTACATCTATACTAATATAATAACTTCCCTATCTTTGTTTGTAAGCTGTAATCTCCAGAAATACTGGTGCAATTATGAAATTCTTTCACCTTTCAACTGTTTTATCATACGCGTCGGTGACATATAGGCTATAATAATTAAGGCGCGCGAAGTCGCGAGGAAACGGATTGTTTTATATATTATTAATATTATTGGAATGTTTCTTTTGATGTAAGATTAGAGTCCTTTTTTAATCGACTTCAAAATCCAAAAGGGGAGTTTATATGTACGACGGCGATGTAATATTTTTTTATATTTTCAAAAAAAAGGAAAACTACTGATTCGATTTCGATGAAATTTAAATGGGACTACCTTGGTCCATTAAGCTGATGAATAAAATTAAAAAGCTGACTTAGATAATAGGATATTTTTTATCCCACTAAACATTTCCCTAGGGTCCACGCGGGCGAAGCCGCTGGCGAAAGCTAGAATATCATATAACAAGTTCCTTTCCATGTTCCTTACAAGGAACGAATCTACCAACATAAGCCCACTAAACATTTCCCTAGGGTCCACGTGGGCGAAGCCGCTGGCGAAAGCTAGAATATCATATAATATTCTAGCGGCTTCGCCCGCGTGGACCCTAGGGAAATGTTTAGTGGGCTTATGTTGGTAGATTCGTTCCTTGTAAGGAACATGGAAAGGAACTTGGTGAGAAAACAAAAATTTTCACACATATCATCTATATATTAAATATATCTAACAACGAATATGTTCCTTAACATGTTCCTTACAAGGAACGAATCTACCAACATAAGCTTTCTTACCGTTCAACAACAACCCATTTACTTTTTCAGTTGATTTATTTGCAGTTTCTTCAGTTCCAGTCTATAACAAGATGATGAGATCTATACTAATATTATATAAAGGAAAGTTTGATTGTTTGTTTGTTTGCAACGAATAGCCTGGAAAACTGCTGGACCGATTTTAAAAAATTCTTTCACCTACCGGTCGCTACATCATATGCGGTGAACGTAGGCTGTATTTTATTAAAAAAATAGCAAATAAAGGGATCGATTTCCCATTTTCGGGAGTGGAAGTTTGTATAAGGAATGAAAACGTTACCATATTAACGATTGTTTACTATTTAATTTGTCACTATTTAACAATATCAGTGTCATGATATGAATCGATATCCAAATAAGCAATTTTCTGGGGATAAAGCGGGCAAAGCCGCTAGCGGAAAGCTAGTAGTTTTAGTGTTACCTATTGTATAAAAAAAGTATGATATAAAAACATAAAAAGAAATAGAACCGACTTCAAACTTTAAAGTAGTAATAAATAATACTTATCTCAAAAGCGACTTATTCCAGAAAATGCAATTGGCGCCTGACATTGAATTAAAAAACCGAGAGAAGATCTTCTCCTTGAAAAATATCAAAAATGTTTTTACATTTTTCATATGTATCACTTCAAAATTTCACTTAAAATACATTTAAGTCGTTCCTTATATACATTAATTCTCTAAAATCGTGAAAACAAATCATCAAGCAAGTCTGCTTTGAATTCTCTACTTTTGGCACCGTGATTTTATCAATTGTAATTGAAATTTAATTGTAACGGTATTGGACGTCATGGTAAATCCATGGTGAATGATGCTTTTTTATTTTCTGTTCTGTAACTAATAAAAACTCAGTCACTGTATTAGTAGAATTGAAATTCAGAGTGCCAACCATTTGAACATGACGTTTACCAACTTTATGTAAGGCTTCGCGAGAACTGGTGTCTTTTTGTCACCATGACGTTTTATCTTCAGTTATCATCATTATCGTGGGAGCCTTTTAGTGATTTACTCTTGGCTATAGGTCTCGCCAACCGTGATATCAGATATCATTCACCCAGTGTTAAGGTGATCTGCCATGCACTCTGGTGGCCGCTTCTAATAGAGATCTATGCCAAGACTCGTCTTGACAATCAAATCTCATGCATTCTTGCTATATGCTCCGCCTATTTTGTTTCTGGAAATCCTCTAGCGTACTTGATCACGGTTTTGTAGTTTCTGACGTCATCTTCCGATAATACGAGATCTAGTTCATTGCGAATGGTGTATTTTGAGTTTTTCGGCTATACATATGAATTAGACATATAGCTATCTATATCTTAAGCTCAGATCTCTTGCGTGATAGGCATACACAATTGAGCATTACAAGGTCCAAGGATTCAGTATTAGAATCAATGATACAACTTAAAAAAGTATATATTGATGTAGATATTTCAATTTTCAGCTGTTCTATTAGTGGTGGTGTCCTGCCGGCCAGACAAGCCAGATCTGAAGCAGTTAAAAGCGGAGGCAGAGCGCAAGAAAGCCTGCATGCAGGATTGTACCAAGGTCAAATTCGAGCCTGTGTGCGCAGGCAAGCAAGGGGAGAAACCAAAGTCGTTTGGTAGCGAATGCGTTATGAATAACTACAACTGCGAGCACAAAGACAGTGAGTACCTTGGTTGTAAAATAAGATTAAGTACCCTGTTTTGATTGTGTGGGTTAAGCTCTAGACTGGGTCCTAGTTAGAGAGATTTCCTAATTCATATACTAACATCATATGAATTGCGATCAAAACCGATAAAACCCAAATACAATGTAAGAATGTAGAACGACATCGTATTTCTAAAGTAAACAAGGATATACCGGATATTTTATAATACACAACAAAAACAGACAACATTATTCAGCATTCATTTTGAAGTATTCAAATACGATCTGTTAGCCTGACACGGCTTAGCTCTGTTAATAACGGTTCACAATGGAACATTCCCATTCATTATTCTGTCACCCAATTTTAGCCTTAACAATGCATGTTCAATAAATAACTAAAGAGGGAAATCAGAGGATGTTGTTTATGAGCTTTGTCTGTCGTTTTGGTGCGAATTGTGGCTGCGTAAAGCTTTGAAGGTGGGCACGAATGTGTGACGAGACCGCGGTAATATAAAACCATTGTGTGCACTGACTGGAGTACCGGAATGTGACTCACTGTTGACTCTTTGTTTTATTCTAGAGTTTTCCTGGTACATATGAAACGTCTACTGTAATAGATAGTTATTCAACCTTATTTTTAGATCGTTTTATAGTTGAGGTAACCTTTTTAATAATATACGTCGATAGAATTTTGAATTTTCCGATTTATAAAAATTGTTGAATATGTTTTTACTGGTAAACATTTTAATTTAAATTACATCAGCTATCTCACCATCTTTAAAAACTACTTGCTAAATGCAATTTCGTTCACGTTCAGGCAGACAGACTTAATATTTATATACAGGAAGGATTTACGAAGTTTTATAGTTATTCTGTTATCTGAGTGAGCTAATTAAAATTGCTGTTTCAATTAAGGTAGCTTGTGTGTGCTGATAATTTGTGGTGTCTGACTCTTAAGTCTGACACTTAAAATAGAGTTTGGATTCTATTTTTTTTTTTCAGTAACAATATGTTTTTATTCTCTTGGTAGATTTTTCAAGATGTCGCACAAAGCCGTTTCATCTTTTTTTTTGTAAAATGATGAAGCCAAGGAGTGGAATATGGGAATAACGTTTATTGACGTCTTATACCGTCTATAATCCTTTTGTGCAAGCTTGTCCCACCGTAGATCTTATTCATGTCCTTGGGCTTGAATGAGCCTATTATAAATTTAAAAAAATGTACCCACTCATGGGCAAGCGCAGATTGGGTGTAAATAAGGAGGAGGGGACTCGTTAAGTCACAACTATGTATGATATTTCAATTAATGTACAAAAAACCTAATGTACCCCGTCATTTATTGATTACAAAAGTAGTTTTAATATTCTTCAATTATCTAACTAATGGACAAACAAAAAAAAATTGTCATCATCCCTTTTGACGTTATCTAACTACCTATAAAAGGCGTGTATTGAAACTTTTTTAACTCCTCTTGACAATCAACTTTTTCTAAGTAGCACATTGATAATGATTATTTTTTATTTTTCAGCTCTGTCTCGAGTCAGCAAAGGTGAATGCCCTGGGTCTGATGGCATTCGTCTCTCCTAAATTTCTGCCTCCCTGATGTGGACGTCAGATGTTTATTTTTCTTTTTACTGGATTAAGTTTTAAAATTTTATTTTATTAGACGTTTCATTTAGTATTTATAGCTACTTCAGAAGAACTCACTGTTCCAAAGTTGGGTTTAAAGAGAGAGTTAAGAGAGTACAGTAAAACCCTACTGATTTACCGATTCTTTTTTTTGTATACTGTGCGGTAATTTTTAAAAGACCTGGCACCGGATAGGTGAGCCATATAAGTTGTGTTTTACCGTACAAAATTTTTGCTTGTGAGTCTACTTTTACATTTTAAGATAACGAAGCATATTCGCTTGTTGTATCCACTTTTCAAAGACGCTGTGATGTTAAAGGATATGTAACAAATGCTTTTAGTGATATCTTTACTATTTTGCTTTTTACCAATTTAAGAATATGTTTGATAATATACTTTTTCTATATTATTATTTTATTTTTATTTCTGCCTTATTTACTTACGGTGACATTGGGATTTCATTCTCTTTTTAGATTTAAAATTATTATCGAAATAGAAGTAACTTGCAACTTTTGTAGTCAGAATTTTCTTCTAGTTTTGGTAACTTTTCAACTGAATGGTAAGAGCTAACGGTGTGAAACGTTGTCATTATCAACAGTTCAGAAATAAAAATATATTTTTTTACATGTATCTAACTAGAACTACCTACCGCTTATTAACGTTGAAGTATTGAGGAAGTATTATAAAAAAAATTAAAGAAAGCATTAAAACAGCACCTCACTAGATGGCGACTCTATCAAAAGTTGATTTAAATAGACTAAAGATAGTAATTTCCGCTTCATTTAACTAACATATTAAAACAATGAAATTTGCAAAGTTCGAAACTTATATATCAATACAAATATAATATGAGTTGTTTATTGAGTATTAATTTACTTTTATACATGAAAGAAAACCGGCAGGGTTGGCATGGAGAAATCAAGAATGTACCGTAGCGACATCTATCTTGATTTTGGGAACTAATGTTTCTTTTACATAGCCTGTAAAACCGTGTTACCTTACTTTTGGTACAGGACCCCTGGGGCTCCGCCTGTATACCCTCTATTTATTTAAAATAACAAAATATAAAAAATAAAAAGGACAAGAGTATAATCATAAACATTTGGATACATAGAAACTTTTTTGGATAGTGTCGATGATACTCAGAGGGTTAGTTATCTACACTAATATTATTTGTACAAACAAATATTTGTGAAAATTAAAAAAAACATAAAAACAAACATCTCGATGACATAGACTCTTATTTACGCGGGCGAATTCGCAGGAAAGTGCAGATATCTATGGGTACCGATACATGTCTTTTTCTTCAAAGATAAAAGTTTGTGTCATATTTCATCTACCACAGAGGAGAATATAAGTTTTACTAAAATTAAAGTAATAATTCTATTTAACATGACCTGTTTGTTGAAATTCATACAAATCTGATAAACAGCTTTTGGTAATCGGATTTGTGCTTTTCCTGGCTTATCTGTCCCGTGCTTCATTAACGGTCCTTATTATCAATTGATAGAAATTGGTTCATGTAATGCCAAAAGTGTTAAATATCTATTAAACAGTAAGTATGTAGGTTTATTTGTTCTAAATGCTTTGTAGTATCTTAATTTATAATGTTAGTATTGGTACAGCGCCATCTCGTTACTGGGTGTTGAAACTTGTATAATATATATCTACACGCAGTTCAGGAAATTATAGAAATCGGCCAAATATGAGTCCGAATCACGTAGGGTTTCGTACTATTATCTATACTAATATATAAAGCTGAAGAGTTTGTTTGTTTGAACGCGCTAATCACAGGAACTGCTGGTTCGAATTGAAAAATTCTTATTGTGTTGAATAGACCATTTATCGAGGAAGGCTTTAGGCTATATAACATCACGCTGCCATTATTGGGAGCGAAGAAATAATGGAAAACGCGGACGAAGTTGCTGGCGGTCACTAGTTATCTATAAAAAACTCATATAACATGTTTGTGTATTCCCTCCCTCTTAACCGTCTTAAACCTCTTAAATATTTATTTAATTTTTATTTTCAGTATTTGTTGTAATAACGACGACAGATTACATTATCTGTGAAAAATTTAATTAAGTTATTACGAGATACAGACGTCCAGACGGACAGTGGAGTTTTAGCAATAGGGTCCCGTTTGAGACTTTGGGTACGGATCCGTAAAAGAAAAGGAAAAAGATTCGCAAGATCTTGTATTGGTGGTGATATTGCATTCCTTAATAAATTACTCCCTTTATGTGTCTTGGTAGTTTCACTCTGTAACGTAGCCATAGTTATAAATACGTTTTATATATTTTAACAATTAATCAGCCCTCTTAAGTTCCAACTACAGGGGCCATGAACCTCTACGCTGGCCCAATGCGGATTGGAGGGTGTTACGGCAGTTAATGCAGCCGGGACTAACGGCTTAACGTGCCTTCCGAAGCACGGAATAGCTTGAGATAATATTTTTTTGGTCACCCATCCCGTGGCCGACCCTTGCGAAAGTTGCTTAATAATAACGACTGCGAGCCGTGGCGCATATCCACCGCGCCACCAAGCTACCTTGATTATATATTCTTTTATAGTTTCATTATTTATATACATATTTAATCAAACGTTTTTGTTTATATTACTTCGAAATAACTTTGTTTGTTTAAATTCACCTTTTCATATTAAGTCAAATATAATTCAGAAAACCACAACAACCAAAACCATTGATTAAATACTAAATAAAATATATACATAAATAAAATTAATAATAAAAATCATAGATATGATTAGATTTATAGCGAGGTAGGTCGCTATCCTGGTAACTGGTAAGTAACTGGTTACATTTAAATGCATGCAAACAGTAAATTTCCTCAGATTATGTTTACATAAATAATAAGAGATTAGTATAACATTGTAGAATGACACACTTTCAATAGCATTTACCAATTGACCTAATATAAGTGATAAATAAAGAGACTGCTTGACGCTTCCTATTGATTTCTGTTATGATGATTGATTGGATTAATATACGAAAATATAATATGATTATTCTAATGGATTGGAATTTGCCGTAGTTTCTAAATGTTTTTCATATAAAAGTAAACATTTAGATAGATTAAACTTTCTTTGATTAAGGAAAGAAATTAAAATATATATAGAATAAAAAATAATATATATTTTAATTTTCAATGTCATGCAGGTGATGTATTATGTTATACTATATAATTTTTGGAGGATATGATATGGCTTTATTCTACATTTATTATTCGAGGTTATTATCTGAAGCAAAGAAAATAAATGAGCTCTGCCTAATAACTTTAACCGGCACTTATATGTATTACCAATAAAGATTACATTGTAATATAAGAAATAAAACATATGGTACTTTCTATCAATCAGTCAATAAGCATGACTATTATGGTGACGCAATTGAGAGACAGAAAATACAAACGACAACTATTAGAACATTTTGTTTCAGAATTAAATAATTTGAGATATATATTTATGTTGTAAATTTGAATAAGTCTTTAAAATATGTTTGAGCTTTCTTAATGTTAAGGGGGAGAGGGACCGGGGAGCTAAACTGGCACTACCAACCGCCTAAGTCTATATGACTATAGACATAGAAAACTGTGTATATGTCATGAGTTGGGAGTGGTTATCGGGAAAGGGAACTTCCTATACGACGTACGTGTATATAGCGGCAGCTATTGTAATTTTCCAGAAAAAAGCTGTTATTCTTTTCTAACGCTTTATTACTTTCATACCGTATAATTTTATTGACATAGAAATATAAACATTTAAGCTTCTTGAAAATGAGTACTTAGCACATACAAAATAAATTAAAAAATAACGGTTAGGCTAAGTTACGATTACTAATTACCTACAGTTTATTTTAAACTTAAGTTTGTATTCAACAGTAAACTTAAAATTTTGAATTTAGGAACTGTCACCAAAAACTTTGTAATGATCTATGATCGCGGTTCCCAAAATAGTACAGATGGACACCTAGAGGCAACTAGACGTCGTTTAATATTGATCTAATATATTCACATTTTTGAAGAATATAAGGAATAGGATGTCCGAAGAATTAAAATTTTGACCGTGGTTGACAAGAAAAGAAAGTTTGGGAACCTCTGATCTAGAATATCTCTTCTAATAAAATTAATACCATTATTTATAAAAAAACTACATAAGATTCAAATTTTAATCAAAGTAAATTAGTATTAAAGAGTAGTATATGGAATAACATGTATGAATGTATAGGTAGTATTTATGTACATTTATGATGCTGATAGAAATATTACAAAAAAATCTGAAATATGAAAATACACTATGAAAATTTGGACTAGATCTAAAATTTTTGATATTGTATTCGCGCTTTTACATAATTGTTATTCATAAAATCATTTGACCTCAGTCGTAAGTATTTAAAAACTACAGAATTAGAAAAAATATGACAATTGTGTTTTTTTTGTTTCTGTCTGGTTATAATTTGATTTGTAGCATCGCCGTGAAAGCATTATAGAATAAAATTTAAAAAAATAACTATCTTTGCTTTGCTTGTTCGATTTCATAATTTTTACTGGGTCCTTAAGAAATAGTTTTTATTAATTAGATATATAATTTAATTCACTTGACAATACATTATACTTTTTGTTAGGTAGGTACGTATTGCTTAGGTTCTAGAAAGTAAAATAGTATTTATGCAGATAAAATTAAGAATAAATTGAAATGTGGCATATTTCGAATAATGATTTTGACAGTTTGAAATAAACTGAATACATAACGTACTATTTCGTTTCGCTTAACTTTAACTGTGACAAAATATGATTTTACCGAAAATATAGGTCAGTCGAAGCTTTGTAAGTAAAAAAAAATCTAAAATTACTTTTACAATCGCTAATTGATAGTGTAAATTGCTTAAAATGAATAGTTTGTATGTTAATCTAAAGTATTTACGTAATAAAAAGTATGAACTAACAAAATATGTTGGATTTCGTCGATGAAATATTGAGAACTTCTACCTGAGAGCGAAAATTTAATTTTTTTTAATGATAAATATATTTTTCATCATTTAATAGTTACAAATATATTCTTAATATTAATTACCCTATTTCTATGGGAACGATTTTTTTTTTATAGTATAGATATCACCATTAAGCACATCTGATATTTTGGCACACACAAAAACAAATTTACCGTGACATAACCTTAGATCTTCTTCTTTTTTTTAATTAATGGCCTATTTGCGCATTTCGCGCAATTCTGCCAATGTCAAGTAAATAAATTAATTTTTACATGTAAAATGAAAATGAAAATGAAAATCATAACCTTAGATACGGAACACAATAGATTATGAGTGACATAACGTAGATTGACATAGTATAGTAATTTCAATAAATATTTTTTAACAAAAACAAACTCCTTACGTCTGTATGTTACCACTATGTGCAGCGAGGACACCGTTATCTTATGTTTAAAGTTCACAATGATTGTTTATAAATTACAATATTAGTATTATTTACGCAAATATGCGTTGTAAATTATAGGTGAATTAAGTAAACGCTACTGATATTATTTTAAAGTAAGCCCAAACAAGAATTAGAACTATTAGATAATAGAGAAACGTTATCTCTTATTTACATTTTTTTTTTTATAATTTTGATCAGCTAAATTCTTTTCAGATAAGGAACACTGATGCGCGCTTCCAATTAGAACCTCTTCATTGAACATTGAGTATTATTTATTTTTAATAAACGTTTTTTTATGTTACATGTCACGTCTTAGATTATTGGTTCGTATCCATGAAAATAATTTGCATTTAAATAGCACCGACCAAGATTCATTTTATATCTATATTGCTTCAATAATATTAGTACCTACATGGTTTAAGTGTAATTTTTTTATCATTTTAAGGGAAAGTTGTTTATAGAACTTTAAGCAAGCAGTACAATTCAACTGCAGTTGACGAAGTTATCGGATGTAACTTCATTATCTATCATGTCAACATTCACCCAGGCTTGTGACCGCGTAATCTGAAATAAAAGAAAGAGAAACGTGAAATTCTTACCATATATATAATAACATTACCAATAACGTTTTCTTAGACGTGTTTACCTACGTATCAAATACATACACTTTAGTCCATTACTAAAAATAAGTTGTTTTCGTGTATTAATATTTTTAGTGTATCTGCATACTGTGTAGGTACTTATAAGAAGATTTTGCAATAAACACTCTTTCTCGTAAAAGGCGAGTAAATAAATGAAACCTCTTTTCTGGTTTTCTTCTTTGGAATGAATTTAAAAACTATTATTGACGACGGCATTTTATTTTCAATTAACTATGTAACTACTATGTGAAGAATGACAATTATCTTTAAATATTGCACAGCGATATCGTTGGTGGATGTTAACGACTACAAATGTAACCAGGACCAACAGTTAACGTGCCTTCCGAAACACAGAGGAGCTCGAGATAATACACTTTTGGTCACCCATCTTAAGACTGGTCCGTATGAAAGTTGCTTAACTTCCGCACCGCTAAGCACTGCACCATCGAATTCCTGCACTCGCCTGTAAATCTCCGAGTAAAAGTTACATATTTCAGTGTACTTTGTATATTGGTCCTAGGGGATAGCCTATAGTTTTTGTCAATCATAGTATACTAAGTGGTAGTGTCTACTCACATGTACTTTCACGACACGACACCGCTTCCAATTCACAGAGCGTTGCAAATGTTCGCGCTGTACCCGCTGCGTTCAATGCACACACTGGGCCAGCTGGCGGGGACGCACATCTTCCCGCGCAAAGAGGTGGTGGAACTCCTTCTCGAACTTTCAATTCTGTGGGCACTGGTGGATCGACGCCTTCTTCGACCACTTCATAGTCGTAACCCACTCTCGGCGGTAGGAGAGGCAAGCTGGCTGAATGTGCCCTTTGCCATGCTGAGAATAAAAGAAACAAAATTATTCGATTTTTTAATACAGTAGATTGTATTTTAGATCTGTAGAATCAAATTTTATTTTGGCGCGAATCAGTATGTGGGTGAGTTTTAAGAAGTGCTCCATGCATTTTGAGCTTTAGTCATCATCCTCCGACTGATTTAATATTCCAAAAAATAAACTTATTTAAAATTTGCTTATAATGCCATAAATATCCATATTAGGATTCAGATAGGGGTAGGAATTGGCACTACGGTAAAGTTCCATCGCCGTTTTAATGGACGCATTACTCAGAAAAAGGTTTTTGGCGCGAACCGATGAAACTTGTTTATTAGCCTTTAAATAAAAAGAATAGCCTTTAAATGAAATAAATAGTTTAATTTTAGAAGACTGCGACTCATGTCAAATAATGTTTCTTAAAAAATAAAGAAAGTGATAATAATTATCTCTGGTAGCCAGAGTACTTTTGGTGAAAGATAAACGCAAATGTATAATGTCATATTCAAGAACTGGACAATTTAATTGGATATTATGCAAATATTATGTGATGCGGATTATCAAAGTTCAAATGTTCAAGGTAAAATTTACTTTGAAAGCATTACCACTAAAGAACAAAGGTTTATTACATATAATGACGTAGTTTTGACTTATAAACTACAACACATATTATATTTTTCTTATAAAATACATTCTGTATTTTTAAATACCGTTTTTATATGTCCGGATCGTTTTTGTATACCCGTATCATTTTTAAATATCCGTACAGTAGTAAGAGTTTATATTCGCGTTTCTATCACTGATTCGATTGGCCTTGCGTAGCAAAGGGCGTCGCACCTCATACCGAAACAAGTTAGGAAAAGTTTGTAAAATCAACATCACGTCAGGTTTTAAAAAAAAACTGTTTAAATTCTTCGATGGAATTTAAATCTTAATGCAAGTAAGTGCGAATGAAAATTGATTGCAGAATTTGACACTCGTACATAGACGTTAAAAGTGCATCGGAACATCTCAACGTACAGACCTATGTTCAGTAATAAGTTTTAAAAATGTGCACGAAAAATAAGGTGTAAGGCAAAAATCCTGCCAGTAATTATTGCTCAAAAATAAAAAAAATAGGATGCGTTCGGCAACAGTTAATTTGAGATAAACACGAGAACAGAGAAGTACATTAAATTCTCGTTTTATTCCATTATTGTTATGACTCGTCCCAAGATTATTGGGTGACGCGACCTCAACTAATCTAATCAGTATTATTTATTTTCCTAAAATTTTCCTTATTACGCATTAAACAATTCGATTGGAAATAAGTTTGTAAACATAAGTGCAAACGCCCTTCGCCTACGTATGATTATTATCAACATATTGATTACAGTCTTTGCGGAAGATGCCTTCCATTTTTAAATTTCAAAATTACGACCAATACCGCTATGATATTTATACATTTTTAGAAGCGAAAAGTTTGGTTTGGTTTCATTTCAAATTCAATTTCAATAATAAAATATTTCTGGCTATACCATTTGTAGCTGGTTTCTGATCATTAAAAATTTTAAAGAAGATCACTCCGAATTCAAATTAGGAATATGTGTGATTTTTAATAAAGTTATTTATATTCAACTAAAGTATGTAGGTACCATTTTATTCGATAACCTTTTGCCATCTTGCAGGTCATGATCCCATACCTATAGAAATTTTGGGGCTTCTGATCAAAAAGCCGCGACAAGTGATTATGGCAGTCGTCTCGTGATGTTAACCTGACACTTTCTAAAGAATTCTAAAGAGACCGAAACAGATGTAAATCTGAAGGTCAGGACCATATGGCAGATGCATTAACACCTCCCAGCCAAACTCTCTTAAGAGTGACCAAAATATCTAACTTTTTTGCGTATCCAGCTTCTTTCAAATGCGCCAAAATTGTTTTGTGGTCAACCCCCAGTTCTTCAGCTAAGTCGTAACTACTGATATGTCAATCTCGCTCCACTTTTTAAAAACTGGCATCCATTTTATCCATGACGGGACAACCACAGTGACATATATCTTTGACATCAAAATTTCCAAAATTTTTTTTCGCGTCTTGCGTTGCATTTTAGCCTTTTTTGTAATAAAATTTTAAAATGTATCGAATTTCTTCTACTGACAGGCTTCAAGGAGAAAATCGTGTATAAATATAATAAAAGACGAAATACTTTTTATTATTCACTAGCTTTTGCTCGCAACTTCGTTTGAGTGGTATTAGTATTAAATACAGTAGCTTATTTTTAATTAACTTCAAAATAAGAGAAGGTTTCATGTTTTTGACTGTTTTCTTGTATCCTAGTTAAATGTTTTCATTTGTAAAAAGAATTGAGAAATCTAAAAATAAAGTCAAAGAATCATGGAAAATAATAAATGAGCAACTGAACAAAACACGCAGACATACTGTTTCGTTAAATTCTATTATAGATGTTAGTGGTAGCGTGGTAAACTATAATAAGGATGTGGCAAATGAGTTTAACTTTTTTTTCAAAAATATTGCAGATCAGCTAACGAAAGATATTGAAGTTGATAGAAAAAAATGCACACAATATGTATGCAATTCAAAAAAAAAAAATCTTGCCACACCATTACTTTTTGCCAAAAACTTACCGGGAACTGGAGAAAATTGTTAAGTCTTAAAAATAAACAATCCCGAGATATCTACGACATAGATTGTAAGACAATAAAACAGCTTATTCTGACAAATGATTATTTTCTAAATCTTATTTTAATAGTTTTCAATAGCTGCCTTGATAAGGATATATTTCCAGAAGCTTTAAAGATAGGTAAAATTGTTCCTATAAAAAAGGTGATACAAAATTAATAGGAAACTATAGGCCGATACGTTTATTGCCAGTTCTTTCAAAAATATTAGAGACAGCTATAAAAGATAGAATGATGGAATTCATTGAATCGAATCAACTCTTATCGGATGTGCAGTATGGTTTTCGTAAGGGACGCTCTACTGAAATGGCGATTCGTAAAGTAATATACTTTATATTAAGTAGATGCAATGGATGAATCTCAAAAATGCTCAAGCATTTTTTGCGATCTGTCCAAAGCTTTTGATAGTTTAAGGCATGATGTTTTGCTACTTAAGTTGAATTATTATGAATTCGATGAAAGAGAACTTGAAATAATAAGAACTTATCTTGAAAATAGAAAACAAGTTACTAAAATTAGTAACGAAGTCAACTGCCGTATAGGATTATATATTGCAGTCCCCCAGGGTTCTATTTTAGGACCATTATTGTCCCTCATTTACATAAATGACATTCAAAATTGTTTGCCTGATGGAAGCCATGCTACTCTTTTTGCTGATGATACATATAAAGGTATAAAAGAAGTGACTGAAAAGGGGGCAAATGAAAAAAATGTGAAGATAATAGATAGCCTTAAAAAATGGTTTAACGTTAATGGAATACTATTCAATGAAGATAAAACTATCATAATGGATTATAGAATAAGAAAGGAAAAAATATTTAAAGGGACGATATATACTACTTTACTGAGCTACAGTATCGATTATACAATCAGTCATAATAAACATGTAGACATGGTGTGCAAGAGATTGGCCAGTGCAAACTATGTTTTATATAAACTGCGGCCTTTGGTGAGTAAAAAGGCGCTAGTATCAATTTATTATGCATATTGCCATTCCATTTTGAGTTACGCTCTTACTGCATGGGGTAATGTATCTCAATTTAACCGTGTACTTGTTTGCCAAAAGAGATCATTAAGGATCATGAATGGGCTACGTAGATATCAGTCAGTTAAAAAGTATTTTAAATCAAATAGAATAATGATAGTGATATCTCTTTTTATTTATAAATCTCTTCTGGAAGTGCATTGACCTAAGAAAGAAAGAACTATAAAAGGTCCAAACATAAAACTTCAGCGGGATTCAACTTAAAACTTTATATGTACAACAAGCTGCCTATAACTATTACCGAGTTACCATTAAATAAGTTTAAAATTGTTATTATTTTTTTTTTAATCTAATCCATTTTATAAAGTAAATTATTTTTTGACAAAGACCTGGAAAGATTGTAATTTTAATTTGTAATGAAAATGTAGTTAATTAATCTAATTATTAATTTATATGATTATTTTCAACTTAATTTTGTTACCGATATTATTTCCTGTTGTGATTATTATTTTGAGAATGACTAATTATTTTATAATGATACAAATTAATTATATTATGTAAGCTGTAACAATTAATTGATGGAATTGTAAAATTCTGACATGCCAAATGTGACATACATTTTAACATGGCCAGTTTTCAACAGTGTTTCATGATTAACGCAGTCGAATCCTTTTGACAGATCGCAAAAAATGCCGATAGTATCTTGTTTATTCTTCCAAGCATCATAGATGTCTCAAAAGTGCAATTCCAGCATCTGTGGTACATTTACCTCTGCTTAAACCAAACTAATTTTGTGAAGTTATTTATTTAACGAAAAGTGTGCAAGCAGTTGATTATAAATAATTTTCTCAAATACTTTACTTAGCGCTGTTAGTATAGATACTGGTCCGCTCGCCTTGAAAAGTGGGATTATTTTAGTATATTTCATTAAATGAGGAACAGTTCCTTCATCAATGTAGTTTTTAAAAATAAAAGTTATTCTTGAAAGCATCACAATCCTTTCATTTCATCTCATCACAAGCATTTCTAGCCTATTTTAAAAGAAGTCCTTTTGTCGGTCGTATAAAGTGTCCATACATTCTTCTATAGTTTTTTTCTATAGTTTTCAGTAGGAATTTGGCTTCGATTTGAATGATATTGAATTTAATCCAAATGCATTTAACGTTCAATTGTATTGAGTATGATGTATATGTAATCTAACAATACATATGAACATTGAGTGCAATCCAATATCAACCAAATCGAAGCTAATGTAGTTACGCAGCCCCCCGTTTATAAATGTTCCGTACTCAAAGGTAAAAAACTATTACTAAGACTTTTGTCACTAGGCTGCATATATGAT